GTCTTAGTAAAAATAGATTTCTCATACTAGGCAATGAATTAGAACCTTTGAACTTCACTTTTATTGAGGGTAAATGGATTTTTTCAATTATTCTGTCTCATTTAATTTGGGATGGATGAAGATTTATAATGTATGTAGATGATATTTGGGAATGTGTCCCAGACTTACTTCAGACTTTGCCATCAACCTCTTATTTATTTATTTACCCCCTGATCTGTTGAGACAATTATCACCAAACTTGATAACTACCTGTAGAATTGGCTCCATAGTAACTGCATAATTTTTATATCAAGATGCAGAAACCTATTTTTTAACTTTCAGGATCACTGAACTGACTGGTGTGAAAGCTGACACACTTAATCATTGGGCTTTTGTAATTGTTTATGGAATTTTGCTGCAGAAATGTAACACAGCAGCCATAATCAATGAGCATTGAAAATTTTTTGGCATAATGTCAAATGAAAGATATTAATTAACTTCATCTGTGAAAACCTTTTTTCACAGTTTTCTGGGATGATAATATGAATTGTATTTTATATCAATGTATCCCATTTATATATAAAATTGTCCTTTGAGTGGTTTCACATTAACCACTTGGGTTTCCAGATCAACCATATGTGAAAGCCTAATAGTGACCACTGAGCACAGAACCAGTTGATTCAAAAGACTATACAGTATTTGTGTTCACTGACTGGGGGGCAATTCAAAGATGTTTACTGCATGTGGATACTGTATATTGATGAACATGGCAGTTACATGGCAGTTGTTAAATTGCATGAAGAATGTTGAAGCCGCTCCAATATTCTCGGATTGTTGGTTTATTTTCTCCGTCTGTAGCCTTAAACAGCTGGGCCATGGTACGGCGTAAATAATACGCCTTGAATGCAGCGATGACGCCTTGGTCCATAGGCTGCATCAGTGCTGTCGTGTCGGGAGGCAGAAATACAACTTTTGCACTGTCATGCAAGTAGTCGAGATTGGGAGGATGAGCTGGAGCATTGTCAAGGATCAGAGGAATTTTGAAGTTAGGTTCTCATTGGCACAGTATTCCTTCAGTGCAGGGACGGTGTACACGTTTAACCACTGGCTAAATGTGACGCCGGTTATCCATGCCTTTTTGTTTGCCTTGTAAATGACAGGAAGGTGATCCTTAGAGTAACCTTTCAGGGCCCGTGGGTTAGCAGCGAGAGAAATGAGCATTGGCTTCAGCTTGAAGTCACCGGCAGTGTTCGCGCCAAGCAGCAGCGTCAAATGATCTTTTGCTACTTTAAAACCTGGTGCTCTTTTCTCTTCCTTGGAGATATAGGGCCTCTCCGGCATCCTCTTCCTAAAGAGACTAGTCTCGTCCACATTGAAGACTTGCTTCGGTGAGTAGCCTCCTTGCTGGATAATCCGTCTGAATTCCGGCGGGAATGTCTCGGCAGCAACCGTATCTGAACTGGCAGCTTCACCAGTCATCTTAATATTGTGGAAGTTATAACGACGCTTAAATCGTTGAAACCTTCCTTGGCTGGCCGTAAAGGTCTCTTCCTTCGATCCTTCACCCTCTTCTGCCTTTAAGTTGTCAAACAGGGATCTGACCTTATGCTGGATAACCATAAGGCTCACAGGGGCATTGCGTTGATTCTGGTCCTTTATCCACATTGCCAGCATCTTTTCTACCTTCTCTGTCACAGTGCTTCTAGTATGAATCGTCTTAGTAGCACTCAGAGAAGAACCACCTCCAGCACTAACCTTAGTCTTGTCAGCGTTGGTCCAGATAGTACGCACCATTGTGGGGGTTAAACCAAGCACAGCGGCTATGTCCACAGCACGTTCCCCTTTTTCAAATCTGGTTAATACATCCATTTTCGTAGCCAGGGTAATGGCCTTACATTGCCTCTTCACTACACTAGCATCAGTAGCACTTGATGGGCGCTTGGAAGCCATTTCGAATGGTTAGAGTACAGTTTTAGAGCAAAAACACTAATGCACGCTCGAATGATGTGAAGTAGTAACAGTGACTGGCTTGGCGTTGCTTGGGGACGCTGTGACGTTCTGCGAGTGAGGGCAGTGCACCGAGCCGAGAGAGTGTAGCGCGGCCAGACAAGAGCGGGTGATGCGTTGTAGAAAGTAGTTCGTGACGACGCTAAATGACGTGGTATCGGATCACCGAGAAGTTAAATAAATTTTTGGTCTCTGAAGTTCAGGACGTTTTTTCTGTATCACGAATTTTTGGATCATAATTTCCAAATTCTGTAACCTGAGTTTTCATAACACGGGGAGTGCCTGTAAACTGTTCTATGCAGGGTACTGTATATAGTAATTTAAAATTTTCAATGATTTCTTATTAAAATACTATACTGTACTTCTAATGCTTATTTGGGGGATGGGTGCCATGTGGAGGAATTTTTGATTGACATAGTGCTGGTAACTTCTCTTTATCTTTAATTTCATATACGATAAATTCATTTAGATTAATACAGATGGTGTGTAAAAGACTCTCAAGTGAAGTAAAACTTAACATATTGTATAGTAATAAACATAGTTTTGATGGATGGAAGATGAATGCTTGCCTCACTCCACTACTTAACTCAACTCTGCTTCACATTTACAGTAAAGGAGATAACTGTGTTGGTAGTTAGGGTGGGGCTTATGAAAATTGATAATCTGTAATGATATAGGACTTTGAGATTTTATAACTAGAAAATTGTTCTTTGTTTTATGATGTGAATGGGCATAACAGTTGTAGTGTAGCACTGTACACTGGTCCCTGAGTCCTCATTGTTAGTACATGAACACTTCATTACCTTTTCATTCCTGTAGGTAGATGTTCTCTGTATACCCTAATTGAAGTGAGTTTTTGATGTTGTTACTTTCATGATATCTAATATTAGATTGCTCCAAAAATTCATTCAGCAAAATTTACTACACAAAAGCCAATATGGTACAGTATTGTAGTTAACAATTATTTTAGTCCGTAAATTACCTTGATGAAATCTTATAATTGTACAGTATATATTGATTAACGATATAGAATTAGGTTAGCATCCTAATATTAAAGATGTTACTATGTGCTCAGTAGAATCTAGATTAATTTTTTTCTTCATTATTTCTTGTATTGTAGCTATTTAAAGAACGGGTATAGAATACATACAGTTTATAAAGAAATAGTAAGTAATACAAGAATTACAGGAGTATTTTAACACTAATAGGTTATTGTGTATGAATAGAAAAATAATTATTCATCACATACAGTAACTAGTTCATAATATGATCAGTATAATAAGAGCTCACATTTGTTATTAATCTTTTCAAAGATCAGTTAAAGAGAATTTCTTCTTCTTATAGTCATTCAAGGAGTTATATATATAGTATATATATATATATATATATATATATATATATATATATATATATATATATATATATATATATATATATATATATATATATATATATATATATATATATATATATATATATATATAATTGTTTTTGTGAGGCCTAGTGTTGTCCATAGCTGATCATACTGTAGTCTTTTGCCATTATCTTGAGTCTAGTGGCTGGTCCTATTTACATTGCCCCCTCTCTTGACTCCACTGAGTGCCCCCCAATGGACCTGGCCTTGCTGCCAGAGGTATGTCATAATAAGTACAGTCTTAGCTGGGAGCTTCCCTACACAGTTGGACAACTGAACATTTTTCACAAGAAATATCTGAAATACATTTATTTTGGGGGTATTTGAGGTTACCCGTTGCTTTAATATGGCTGGATCACGAGAGTCACCATTCTCTCACCTTCTTTGTAATATAATTCGTAAATTAATTCAAATGCGTTTGATTGGAATTTAATTTAAAATGATTTTCCTGACATACTGTACAGTACATATCCAACTTGTGCATTGGAAGTCCAGCTTTGTCAGGTCACTTAAATTTATTTTGATTAGTTTTGAGCACTGGTGTACACCTTCACCTTTGAAGTTATTTACAAACCTCCAAATTCTCTTTGCTTTTAATGTTTGTAGCTATTTCTCTATTTTCCTCTTATATAAGTTGTTTGCATGTTTCCATTATGTAGAGTACAATTTGTTGTTTCCATTTTACACTGATACTCACTTCATCTGAATCTGTTGTATCCCTTCATGAATGTGGTATTTGTCATTTGTTTAGTACTGTAATATTTCACTGAGGTAAATATTAATCAGGTTTTGTAAAGATTGATATATTATAGTGAATTAGAAAATGTTGATATGGATCCAGAAGAACTGAGTATTTGGGGTTTATGCATGTACAATTATTTAATTGTATGGTAGACTCACGCTACTTGTATTTCAATTGTAATTTTAAAAGTATTTCAGACAAGGCTGCTCAGAAGGCTTCTAGCAAAACTTAACTGTATATACCATAATAGCTGTATTTGAGAGTGGTGCCTTAGCATGCAACTACGGCCGATGACTCTTCACTCTTATAATCGTCCTTTTGGTTGCAATTTGATATGCCAGTTTTGAGTAAAGTTAGGGTTATTTTATTATTGTTATTGGTGCTAAAAATATCATCATTATCATTATTATTGTTTGATTTTTATATAAGAAATACAGCTTGAAGGTTGTTTATGGTCTTGAGGATGAGTGATATGAGTTCTTCTGGTTGACTACTTTATAACTTTCTCCCCTGCATTGGCTTACTTTTTATTCATTCACCTTAATACTTGTTCATGTTTCTTTAGAGTAAATATTTAATAATACTGTTATTGGTCTTTGGTTGATAGAGTGTTGACAGTGAGAATGGATTTTTCAACAGGAGTACCCCAGTACAGTACATGTATAAAGAAATGAGCTTAGGTTAATAATTTATTTTATCTATTCATTTTGTTTAAAGATGCTCAGTATTTTGCAGGTGCTTTAAAAATTCCCATTTTGACCACTTTTTGATTATAAATGAAGTGTCCAATCAAGTTCTTAGCTTTATAATATCTGTACTGTAATAGTGTTCCTTCCTCATGTTTCCTGGATGTTCCAGGATCAGCGCTTTTCCCGGATTAGTGAAGATGATCCTAGTCATGAAGATACCTTCTCTGTAACCCCCAACGCCATCAGTAAGTTCATCATGTTGATGTTTTTGTTTTGTAATTAATGCGAATCATTTCCCACTTTGGTCTAGGGTGGCTGGAATCATGAGATATAAAAAAATTCCATTTGCTGCCATTTATTCATGCAAATACTGTGTGAGATATGTTTCACTTTAGAATACAGGCATCCCCCGCGTTGCGGAAGGGTTCCATTCCTGGAAAAATGACCGTATCGCGAAATTCCGTAACGCGAAACCTAGTTTCTCATTGACTTCCATTATAAAACTGGAGATGCGTTCCTACGGAATTTTTTTAGGCCCCGAAAACGTAATTCAAGCACTTTTATGAATGAAAATAAACATTTATAAACACATAGAATACAGTACATTAAATAATTCATGATACACATGTAATATGAAGAGAAATACAGTTGGAATAAATAAAAATATTGTACTGTACTTACCACAAAAGATGTTGACTACTGCGTGAGGATTGGTGGTGCGAAGGAAGTTATTGGGAGGAAGAGGGAGGGGCACTACTCTCTTCTGCCCTGCCCTATAAATCATCATCTGCTTCTTCATCTGCTTTCACCTTTTTTCTGAATAACTCATCCAAAGTTGTTTGACGTTTCGGCGCACCTTCTCCTTGTACAGCTCAGTGTAGGAACTGAGAGCATTGTTAACTGCTCTTGCAATCTTGATTGGGGTCGTTATCAGCAAAGATTTGCAGACCTTCCTCTATTAGTGCAAACGCTTTAGACATATCCTTTTTTGTCAACTGAAGTGGGGTGGGTGGAGATTCTATATCCTCTTCTTGTCCTGCAGCTCGCTCTTGTTCCAGCATCATCAGATCTTCATTAGTCAAATCTTCTCTATGGGACTCTAGCAACTCAACCACATCATTTTCCACGACTTCTTCAAAGCCTACATTATTTGCAAGCGTCACAATGTCTTGTTAAACTTTCTGTAGACTTTCAGCTTGTGAAAAACCTTGGATTTCATGGACACACTCTGGCCATATGTTTTTACATGAACCATTCATAGCTGAGGTTTTCACTTCATCCCATGACTCGGCTATATTATCCACAGCATCCAAGATGTTGAACTTTTTCCAGAAGTCCCTAATTGTAGGTTTATCCTCCCCATCAATTGCTTTTATGAGCTGCAAAAAAGTTTTCCTAAGATAATATGCCTTAAAGTTAGCTATCACACCTTGATCCATTGGCTGGAGCAAGGAAGTTGTGTTCTTGGGGATGTACTCCACTCTCACATTATCAGAAAGATCATTTAAATTTACTGGGTGGCTTGGTGCATTGTCTAAGAGGAGCAATGCTTTATTAGATATGTTATGCCTGGCATTATATCTTTCTACAGCAGGGCAAAAATAGTTAGTGAACCAGTCTTGGAAAAGGGTCATAGTCATCCAAACCTTCTTATTGGAATGCCCTTGAGAGTCCTTGGATTTTCTGAGTGATACACAGGTAGGGGCTTTAATTTCATATCACCTGAAGCATTTCCTCCCAGCAGAAGTGTTAAACGATCTTTGGATGCTTTAAAGCCTGGTGCTGATTTTTCTTCAGTGGAAATAAAAGTTCTAGCAGGCATGTGCTTCCAGAAAAGCCCAGTTTCATCTACATTGTACACTTGTTCTGGTGTGTAACCTCCTTCATCAATAATTTTCTTCAGCTCAGCAGGATATTTATTAGCTGAATCTGTATAAGCACTGGCAGCTTCACCTCTCATTTTTATGTTGTGTAAATTAAGGCGCTTCTTAAACCTTTCAAACCAGCCTTTACTAGCCAGAAAAGGTTTAACCTCAGAAGATGCTCCTTCCTCTTCCTGCAAATCATTATATAAACTTATGGCTTTCTGTTGAATAACCATAGTGTTTAGTGGCACATTGCGTTTAGTCTGATCTTCATTCCAGACACTCAGGAGTCGTTCCATATTCAGCATCACATCACTTCGATGAAAATACAAGGTTCGAGCAGTTAATGGAGTAGCAGCTTGAGCACTTGACCTAATTTTGTCCTTATTATCACGGATTGTTCCCGCTGTTGAAGTAGCAAGACCTAATGTTTTTGCAATCTGGCTAAGTTTTTCTCCAGCATCAATCCTTCTTAAAACGTCAAGTTTAATATCCAATGTAATGCCTTTGCGGCTTCTTCTTGCACTACTGCGGTCACTTTCACTTGATGGCCTCTTTCCAGTCATCTTGAATAATGGTAATGCACTGTACTGTATGTTTGTAAAAGTTAAACCTGGGGCTTGAAAAATGCGCCCACACTGGATGTAAGCAATGGACTGACTCCTCGTGGCGACGTTACGCTTGGCGGTAGCAAACACCAAGAAATCCACACCAAACAAATTATAATTTTTAACAAAAAAATTGAATTTTATATAGTGATTTTTTTTTTAATTGTTAAAATTTACCCCAATTTCCGTAAGGGCGGATTTACAGGCCGTAACGCGAAATTAATGGTCGTAATTTACAAATTCCGTAAGAGCGAAATTCCGTAACCCGAGCTTCCGTAACGCGGGGGATGCCTGTACAGTACTGTACTATGGAAATAAAGTTGGTCTATTTAATACACTTTTTCCCTATCAGAGACTTTTTATGGCTTGTATTTCTTTTTCTTTTCTTGGACATCTTTGGTCCAAGGAGCTGATATGACCCTAAGCCCCTTATTAGAGGTGCCATATTGTACCTGTACTTATTATGTTAATTTCTGTGTTTTATTCCTCTGACTTAAGACTCGCATGTTTCAACAGTTGAAGGTCTGACTTTTTTTAGAAAATAGTTTGTGAAGGATTCTATATAAACCGGTTACTCTAGGTTAAGTGAGAACAGATATTTTAATTTTAAAAAGATTGAAAAGTATTGCTCCAACATCTTTTGACACTTAGTCCATGTGTGAATTCCTATTCTTAGTATAGTTACCACATGTATAGAAATTTCAAAACATTTCAGTTACTAATCTTCAACCATTCTAGAGATACCATATAAATATATATATTATATCTCCTCTAGGTAAAGAAAATAAACCTCCCAGTCCCGGAAAAGATGAAAATGAGGTAAGTTTCTTAATAGTGATCTTTTTAACATGCATCTCTAGTGTTACCGGGGTGCATGGGTTTCCTTTAGCAATTGTTTCTAAAGTTTTCTTGTTGCTAAATATTTTCATTGTTCATTGTGTTTCTACTACTTCTATATTCATGTTCATCAGATATTCATGTCAGTAATGTTTGTGCCACTTTAGTGATCATGGTGTCAGTAGTGGTCCTGTTCTCTTTGTGTTCATACTTTCCCATTGCTGTGTTTCCTCAACAGTCTTCCTATTTATCTAGCAGAAAAAAAAAATTGTAAGTCATATGAATAATTGCAAATTGAAGGAAATGTTTAAAAAACTTAAGTAAAAAATATGTGGAAAGGGAGTAAATGAGTTACTTATGGTGGTTCATACTTTACTGAATTAATTGGATCTGCCTTCCTTAAACTCCTTTGTGGGGTGTCCAGTTAAAAGTTAATGTAGGTAGAGACATGTTTACAAACATATTGTAGTTATTTTCATTTTCTCCATGCTTTTAAAGATGGGTACAGTTTACTGAACATCGCTGCTTTACCTTTTATTTTATAATTTATCTTATTTAAAAGACATTTATTGGAGCTATAACAATGGATAATGTTTTCAGGTGGTGGCGCCAGACTCAGGTGAGCGGCGAAAGGGACCTGCCCCTCCTCCCCCTGTTAGTGGCAGCCCAGCTAGTGTTTCCTCTACACCCTCTAAGAAGGGCCCTGCACCCGCTGTCCCAGCTAGCACCACCCCCTCTAAACCTAGAGCTCCTTCACCTGTGGATGTGCCCTCTGATGACCTAGTAGGTGAGTCAGGTGTTAGCTCCCCACCCAGCAGTAATGCAAGTAAGCAAGTTACCAGCACACCCTCAGGGAAGGGCCCGGCACCCAAGCCTGTATCCATTTCTGAAAGTCCGGTGCTTAAGGAGAAACAGTCACCAACAATCTCCAAAACAGACATTCCATGCACAGAAAATCTTCCTTCCGTCCCTAGTGAAAAGGAAGAAAGTGAAAAACAGTCAAGTGTGCCTCATTCTTCTGAGAAAGCTGAAAAGAGCATATTAGATGAAAGAATGGAAGTTGATGAGAAGCCCAAGATAGAGTCTGACACCCAAGAGCCAAAGAATAAATCTAATGTAGATGTTGTTGATACAAACCAAGCAAGTATTAGTGTATCAGTAGAGGAAGGCAAAAATATGCCTTCTTATGCACAAAATGTTGCAGAAGTCATAACAAGAGCCCAGCCAAATGAAGTGGAAAACCCCCAAATTGCTGAGACATCAGTCAGTCTTAAAGTAGTAGTAGATCTAGATGAAGAAGAGACAAGGAAAGCAACAACTTTAGTTGTTGATGATACTGAACTTAAAACTCTTGTTTCAACTTCACCTCCAGTGTCTCCTGTAACAACTGTGGCATTGTCCACTCCAGATTCATCAACTGTTGTTTCTCCTCAGTCACAAGTAACTCATATGTCTGGTCAAGCTACTAATGAACCAGAACCTCCAGCAGTACCGGTGAGACCAGCTTCTGCATCGTTATCCCCCAGTTCGTCGGAGGCGGTAATTGCATCTATAGGAAGTGATGCTACTGTAATTGTTCGCACTCCCACCCCAACTCCCCCAGAACCTTCACAAGGCCAGCCCCCTGTGAAAAAAGAGAGTGTAGTCACATATTCTGGTGAGCCAGTTATCTTTTCACCATTTGAATTGCATGCATTTGCTTGGTAAATGCATGAGCTACAAAACATCTATACTATACTTGGTTTGCACATTGGATAATATATAAAAGTTTGCTTTAGTATTTTGAATTGCACTGTATAGTGATATTGCTCACTGAGATGTGTGTCTATTCTTCATTCTTCAGTGCACTGTCTTGATCTTTATAGTTTAGCACTCAATTTTGCTTGCTCTATGGTCTTGATTGAAGTTGCACTAGGCATTTTCCTTGCAGTTTCTTCATTATTTTATACCTTATGCTAGGTCAGGATCTTGCAACATTGTACAGTATAGCCATCAGGAAGAGAGGTTGTAACCCCAGGCTCCATGGTCCAGCTTGTGATTGAGACCTAAAACTTTTTACATTTGAGGATTAGCTATCCTTCACCTTCTTACTAATGAATATCCAGTAGGTAAGAAGGAGAATGTTTAAGAGTTTTATTGTGAGCATCACCTGAGACATTCATAACCATTCATTTGTTGTCATTGAGTAAAACAACATAAATCTAATCAACTCCCTCATTTAAATATTACCCTCTCTATAACACAGACATGCTGCTCTGGTGCTGACCTTATGGACAGTTAGCTATTATTTTAATTGATATTAGACACTCTCTAGCCATGCAGTCTTAAGTTTTAAGATTTTGTTGCAAATATTGCAAGAGTTTTTATCTGTTTCATATGAACTTTAAGGATTTGAATGTTCATGTTTCTCAGTTATATGAGACACAAGCTATGGGAAAGAAATATTGTCTTACTGTTAATCTTTCAATAGCAAACATCAGCAGTGAAAGTTAACTGTAGGGATGGCAGCCATTATCAGTAGATGCTTCACGTTCATTGTGTTCTATTTTTTTGCATATTGGGATGGAGTAAAGAATCCTTAATCACCAGGTAATAAGTTGGTCATGCCATGTACAGTATTATGAACTAGAGTTCAATGACTCATATTACAGTGGCCACACAAATCACTGGGATGCTGAATATCAGGGTTATGTTCTGTCTATGATTAGAACAGTATCTTGTGAGTGGGAGTTAGATTTACTCTCTTTCCCTTGAATTTTCTCCCTAGGAATATGTACAGTCCCCTTCACTAGTGCACCATTTATCCCTGGTGCAGATAGCCTCTGAGTGTGGGGCTGGCAATCCAATCCCTTTTATATTTTGTCAAAAGAAATAAGTAAGAATACTGGAGAGTTTTTGTTGTTTGTGATTCTGACCACCCAACTCTAGGTAGGAAAGGGCTTGCAAGAGTGAAATTCAGACCATTCTCTCGCTAACATGAGGCCTCGCCTGTTAAGAATTTTTAATGCACATTATTTTATATACAAAAATAAGATGGAATATGGATACATTTTGAGAGGTACTGTAATGGCATACCAAACTTGTTTATAAGATAAACTTACCTCTATATATTCTTATTGTGTAGTTAGGTCTTAGGTGAAGAAATATGTGTATAAATACATAGGTGAAAAGTAGCCAGTACAGTACAGTACGGTATTAGCAGTGTGCAATATGTAAATTTTAGTTTAGTTTGATAAAAAGACTGCTGAAATATAATGTAGTGATTACTGTACTGTTGTATGGGTCAGAAGAATTGACCCTAAGTAAACACCAGGAGCTTTGAGGCTTTTGAAATGTGGCGATAAAAAAATACAATACAAGGGCTGGCTAGAACAATGGGAGGAATATTGGTAATTTATCATTAGGGACAAGGGGGTAATGGTATATATACCACCATTATTAACTAACTGTAGGGTAGGAGGGCCAGGGGAAGACAGAAACTGGGATGGATGAATTAAAAAAAAAATTGGATCCCCGGAAAAACACAAAATCTTGAAGGATTAGTAGAGTCACTAACCCTTGAGACATGAGGATGGTGACTCAACTGATTGATTAATTGATTATTTTTTATAGAATTTATCTGTTTTCTAGACGATCTTCTCAGAAATGAAGATGGTGTAGAACTTTTATCATTTTACATTGTTCTTGCTTGATTAGAATTGGAATTATCTACAAGGGGGGGGGGGGGACATTGATTAAAAACTGTATATAAATTGCATGAAATGCAGTATTTCTTTTTTGTATTTATTAGTAAGTATTTCTTTGAATAAGAATAACAGGTGTCTTTATGATAAATTTTCCTACTAATTTCAAAGTTAGTTTTCTTTCATATTAAATCTTTAATATCATCTTTCATTTCACTTAACTTTTGGCCTGTCCAGGTTATTTGAGAATAATTAAGATATTCCTTAAAATAAAGGTGGTTTCCTCTTTGACAGTAACCAACAAAAGATTGAATTATTACTTATATTAACTTTTAAGTTTCTAACTTGCCTCGTGTAATATAACTTATTGCTTTTGAATCCTTCCATAAGTGCAATTATTTTGCTCACTTACGATGGCTAATGCTTATAGCTGTTGCATGAAAAAAATCTGCATGAGAACCTTGAGAATAAGGATATGAAATATCTTAGACTGAGTAATACAAGTTTAAAACTGTATTTATAGATTGCTGTAATATGTATTCCTATGTATAGGTCCTGCCATTGTTGATAAAAACTCAAAAGATGAAGTGGAGACTCCATCTTCCCCCGAAGTGCAAGATTCCATCTCTCATCCACCAACATCCACTTCCCCATCCTTATCTGAGGCTGAGGAACAGGCAGTGCAGATCTTAGAGTCAGCAATTGCCAGTGTTGGAGACACAGTTTCCAGTAAGAGTTCCCAGGAGGATGGGGAAGATTCTAATGTCACTCTTGCAAGTACTTCAGTGATACTAACTCCAGAGAAAGAGAAGAAATTGGACACAGTAGTCCTGTCAGACCAAGTGGTGGCTGCTGACCAAGTGAAGGCACCTGACTCTAGTGCAAAAGGTTAGTCGGTTATTCTGTAATACACCTTGCAAACATGTGTGCATTTTAGCCATGAACATTGTGACCAGCTTTGAACTGGGATCCAACTGCCAAAGTATTTTCTTAATAGCAATAGCTTGTATATGAGGATTTTAAGTAGAGTGTGTACATACTTTAATTTTATGCATGTTAATTTGTATTGCATCTTCTCCAAATGGAAACAGCAGTTAATAATTAAAAAGAGTGCAGTATATATTGCAGAAAAGAGAGCAAGTAAAATAGGGAGAATATTTTGAGCAGATGCTACATGTAATTATGGATGATAGAGAGATACTGTATATCATGTTTACTGAAGAGACGTGAAAAGAACTACAGTATTGTTAAAGGAGAAAAATAATTCAGGGAGGAGGTGAGAAAGGCTTTTGAGTAAGCTCAAGAATGGAAAGTCACCAGGAATACAGAATAGGGACGTGCTGTGGAAATTATAGGGAAAGAAGTTGGAAAAGTCATAGAATAAGTGACAAGAATACAGTATATAGGTGATACTTGACAGAGGAAATATTGCATAAAGAATGAATACCATATAGTTTAGCTACGTAACGGGAAAAGTGATAAGAATGAATGCAAACGTTATAGAGGAATTTACTTGTTAAGTAGATCAGGGAAAGCAAATGGAAATTTTCACAAAGAGAGAGACTGTTTTAGGGGAAGAATAGAGAGGGTTCAGTTGGGCATATTTTCGGGATTTGATAAAGGTAGTGATAAAAGAGTCGATGGATAGGAAATGGAGGAGGTTTTGTAGAAAGAGAGAAATATGTAACAAGAGTGTGATAAGAAAAGAGAAACTGAATCCAAATGAAAAGTAGGACTGTATTGATGGTTAGTAACATGGCAATGGTTTCTTTGGGGGGGGGGAGGATATGGATGGGGAAGCAAGAGTATTGGAGAGGGGGCGGGTTTTTCAAATAGGGAAATGCAATGTAAAGGGGAGCAGGATCAGTTTCTTTTTGCAGATGACAGTGTGCTGGTGGGTAATTCTGATGAAAAGTGTTATGAGTAATTAATGTGTTTAGGTTTGTGCTTATGAAGAGAAAGATGGTGAATGTTGTTCATGTGTTTAGTCATGTGTATAAGGAGAAAGATGGTGAATATATAAAAAAAAATGATGAAAATAAGCAAAGAAGGGAGGCAGGGAGAAATAAATTAAATTTGATTGGAGGCAGAATTGTGGAAATGATGTGTTTCAAGTACTGTATGTGAGTGTGGAACTATCATTAATGATAAATTGAATGACCCTGTTTGGATGGAGAGTAATAGATATATTGAGAAATGGATGAAGAGAAAGCTGTGTCCAAGGAAATCAAGATGGAGAAATCGGGGGAATCACCGAACCAACAATATTACGTTGGTGTTTGGTTGGTCATAAAGAGAAAAAAAATTATGATGTGCTTGAGAGCAGTATGCAGATAATTTGAAATACAGACAGTAAATTAAGAGAGATGGAAATGAAGAAGGTATCAAACAGCTTACCAGAGTTAGCTCAGATGGCAGAGATGGATTAAGAGAATAGGAAGTGAAATATTGGTCAAAGAGTGTACAGTATAATTGAGAGATGGATGGGAGGAGGGAGAGAGAAGCACATACAGTATGAGATGAAGGATGCTCTGGAAGTGAGGGGGATAGAGATACTGTACATTAAGCAGCAGTGTGCATGAATGAGCACTAGGTGGTTTATGGGGAAGGACATGTTGATGCTGACACATAGTGAAGCGATGGGTAAACCGGACATATTGTTCGACTTTATTGTGGAAGGGGAGTACCATAGCACAACACATCAGTTGTCGCAGTAAGAATAAGTGAATGACAACAAATGAAGAGATTATATATGTGTATATTTGCTTTTGATTCTTGCTGCCTTGCTTTATTTGAGGAAGGGCGTAAAAGAAAAAAAATAGTATACGTATTTAAAAGGAATGACCAAAGAAATTTTTTTAAGTAAATAAGAATATAATTTATTTGTGTGGGTCTGTGGGATGTCTTAAATTTTTTGGAAGTGAGCAGTTTAGTGGATGATCTTTTATAAGTTGGCTTGCTGTTCAGTAGAAGTAATACAGGAAAGTTAAATACCTGTAGATGGATTTATATTTTTTTGCGTAGATGTTGGTTAATGTGGTACAAATAATCCTGCAAACAGATAAGGATGAAGGAATCACAGAAGTCCAGGTAATTCCCAATGATGGTCATAAGCTAGATGAAAGTGAAGTTGTAATAAGCAATTCCTCCATACTTCACGATGGGATGGACACACAGCCAGACCCCAACGCTGCCTCAAAGTAAGTAGTTTTGAAACAGTATTATTTGGGACACAGATCACTAAAGGAATATTTCTCTATCATAATAAAATTAGAATTGACAACATTGCAGAGGAGTACCGTATTTTATGGCATATAAGACGCATGGTCATATAGATGCAACCCCCCTCCATTTTAGCAGGGAGTATTTAGGGAAAAATTTTGTGTATTTTCCTCCTGTAGTCACAGTTTTCTTAAAATAATATATACAGTAACTACCAGTAAATGTGAGGAATAAATAAAAGTAATATCAATAAATAAGTTACAACAAAACTACTGTATTATTGCAAAATCAGTAAATAAAAGGCAAAGGAAAGTTTAACACAGTTGCAATTTGCATATACAGTCAGGTCGGGATGTATAGCAAGATAGGGTCCAAGGATGTTCACTATATACTAAATCGCAAAATATAATTACATGTAATCAATGGGGAAAATAGGGTTAGGTTGTGAAGGCCAATAAGTGACTAAACATGACATAAAATGGCAGTCTAAAGTTAGCAGAATATAAATTGCTTTGCTGGAATCCTTGAAAGACATCGAATAATTTGAATATGTACATCATATAATTTGCACAAGAGATAAAAAATTTTGACTGTACTCATTAGCACTAAATTTTTTTTTGTCTATTGTGAAGTATAACATGTTTATATTCAAATTAATCACCATCTTACAAGAATTCCAGCAATGTTAATTATATTCTCTTAAGCCAATTCATTAACATTTTATAAGAGAAAAACTTAAACTCCCCTATATGACAGATAAATAAATACCACCAGGTAACCTTGTCTGGCTCCAACCCAGCTGTCATAATAAATCAACTCTTCTCCTAAGAGTGACTGTTTTTTAGGCTTAAAGTTTTGTTCTTATAAAATGTCACAGACTAAAGTTAGCACTATATACTGTAAATTGCATTGCTTGAATTCTTACAAGATAGCGAATAATTTGAATATAGACATCATATATTTTATACAAGAGAAAAAAAATACAACTCGTATTTTTGGGGCTATTTAGGGAATTTTTAGGAGTGTTTCTGACTTTATACGGTTTTTGGCTTTATGTGAGGTCCCAGGAACACAACTCCACGTAAGTTGTGAGTCTACTGTAAATAAATTTATCGCTATATATTGGAAAATTTTGATAATTTTGATAGTAGTGATATATTTGAAATATTTCCTGCCTGATTATCCTCGGGGGAAAAAAAATTAACGCTCTATATAGGAAAATGTTGATAATTTTGGTAGCCGCGGTATAAAAAGCCTTTATATAAAGTCGCTGTATATCCCGACCCTACTGTACATCTGTACTCCCTGTTCATCACAGCAACGGAGACGCTACCTCCACCACTCCCCCACTGAGCCAGCTAACTCATGTGCAAAGAAATGTATATTCCCTTTATGTGTTTGCCCTTAGGACAATTATTTCTTTCACTTTTTCACAATATGTATGCAGGATGGTCTGTCCATATAACTGAGTAAAAATAAATGAAGAAAGTTATGTATATCTATCCAAAAATACTAGTTGTAAAACAACCATAACACCTCACAGCTTGGCCCAGTAGCCTGCTGGTTACAGTGACGAGTCTAACCTGGCCACGATGCCGCCAGTGATGTTAACAGATGCAAATGTGAAAAGAAAGTGATCTGTAAATCTTCAATTATATCAGGTATTTGTAGATTGAAAAATAAATGTTGCAGGTATAGCATTAATGGATTGTAATGCTTGTAAGAGTTAAGAAATGATTACTGCTTAGCTACTTCTGATGAGTAGGGTGTCTGAGGTTATCATCATCAGTACAGTAGTTATAAATCGAACCTTTAATTTACAATAATTATATTTTAATTACTTGAAAAAATAATAATGTGTTTAAGTAAGCAATAACCTATTCTTAATTCTGGAGTTGGGTTCGGTAGAATTTAGCTCACTGGAGACAGCGACTGGGGGATTCATTAACTTACGGGAGATCTCAACTTCACATATAGGACACACGATTATTTTTTAGCCATTTTTCAGACAAAAAAGTGTGTCTTATATCCTGTAAAATACGGTATATCTTATGATATTTTACAGTACCACTACTGTATTATGAAATACAAATTAAGAGGTATTTTACTACACTGACTTAACAAGTTCTTACATTTCTTTTTCCTTAAATTTTTCTTTAAATAGGTCACGTTATGAAATCACACTAGAGGAAACCGCACAGGTGGAAGAAATCCCCCCTTCAGTTCTGTCTGCAAATGACACAACGCACATCTCTGTTGTAGCTGTAGATGACTTATCAGAAGCAGCTAGTTCAAGTAAGGATACTCCATCTTCCCAGAAGGACTCACTTGTTTCATCAAAAACACCGCCCCCAGCACCTGTTGATCAGAAAACCACAACTACCAGATCACCAGTACAGAGTGAGCAAGATCACCAAGGTCATCTGGAAACCTCTTCCAATATCTCTAATATTTCTAATCTCAGTGGAGGAACAACTTCAACTGGAAGGTCTGTGAGTTCAGCTGAGGAAGAGAACCGACCCACCATGTCACTCTTGATAGAGGGTACAACTGTTAGTGCAACAGATGTAGATGATGATGAAGTGTTTGATCACTCTGAAAACAATGAATCAAAGGTAGGAGAAATTAGTTGTATCACAAATTTGAATTTAACTGTGGAGAAGTATACTGTACTGTAATAGTATCACTGGCTTGTATATTAGGTGCTAGTTTTGCATGTCTGTGTGCCATTAGTCCATACTATTTATTTTTTGTTTGTTTTTTAATATATAACTCAAGTAACAAACTCAGAATGGACTATTGTGCTGCAATGGGCTCCTCCTAGACTGCCAGGTCTGTTGAGGTATGTTGTCAGCAAGTCAACAACCAATCATTATTTGAGCTATCGCTCCTATAGGACTGACTTTGTTCTTGTGTTCTGGTTTCAGAACATTAAATTATATACTACTTTGTGAGCTTCTTAAGCATAGTGCCTTATATTTGTATGTAGTAATTGATACGGTAATGAGAAATCTATTCAGACTTGCCCATTGTAATAATATACAAAGGCAGTTATTTAAAATTTTACATTACATGAAATGAAACTTGTATTGTGAGGTATAAGAGTCTTATATAACATAACATATACATGCCAGAGTATAAATATATACAAAAATGTTATGGGATATAAATAATTGAGTATTGGTGCGGTTTTAGACCTTGTGCTTAGAGTGCCGTTATTGGTTCAAGCCTTGTTATTGCAGTTTCAATTCTGAAATGGATCTTTGGTTGCAATTTATCCTTGTGGGTATAATTTAGATGTGGATCCAATCAATGGGACTGTGCAGGACTGGTTAACTGCATTGATTCATGAACCCCTAAATAAAGTAATGGAGCTGGCCTTCATTGTTGTTGTTATTTAAGTTTTCTAAGAATTTCTGCTGTCATAATTTTATTCATTATGCAGACTGGTTGAATATTATTTATAGTTCTTATGTTTTGTGAGTGAATATTATTTTTAGCTCTTATGTTTTGTTAGGGAATGAAGAATTATTATCACCTTCCTGGTATCAGTGCCATTGTTGCTGTCATCACAATAATTTTCTAGCTTAAGTTTTTGCTTTTACTTCAGCCCATATGAAAGGTTGAAAGAAAATTTTTGTAACAGACCTATTTTTTAAATTTTTTTATTAATTATTAATTTTCCTTACAGACTGCAAAGGAGAGCTCTGCCAACAAACCTGCACTAGTTAGAGAGTTAACGATAGGAAGTGAAGTGTCTGTTGAATCCGGGGTCTCTGCTGGGTCTACAGTTTCAACCCCATCACATCAGACAGACTACTCACAGCAAAGCACCCCAGTTGCTAATTCTCCAGTAACAAAAATATTGCCAAATGGCATTGGGAAAGATGCTCACAGACTGGAGAGGTAAGAGTTACAAATTGATTTTAATTGTTAGAGTTATCATCTAAGAAATAAATACACAGGTTTGTATATGTGAAGTAAAAGGGTTAAATTGTTTGGGAGAAACTGTGTACAAATATTTTTGTACAGTATTGGAGAAAAGTGCGCAAATTAAAATTGCGAAAAAATTTGGTAAGAGCGGGGCTGCATTCCTTGACTTTTAAGCAATGTTATTTCTCCCCAGTTATCATTATCATTCTCCTTTTATAGCCATTTTCCACTTATGTGTTGGTTAGTCATGATTACATGATGGCACCTCTATGCTGCATGGTTTCTTGCAACTTCTCTCAATAGGTGTTTATCCCACAGATAATTTCTCACAACCTCTCTTGGCCTACCCCTAGTTCTTCTCTCCTCCACAAACTCATATATTTATTAGCCAATTTATTCTTCATTCTCTCCATATTCCCAAACCATGTCAGCCTACTTCTATGCAAAACCTCACCAATGCTCTCAATGCTCAGCTCCCTTCTAAGCTCTGAAGTGGGTTTCTTATCTCAAATTTAAGTGTCGGTCAACAAGTTGGGTGCTTGTGACCCATAGACCTCTCAGGCTATACATCAATTTTCCAATCCTTGCACAGTTTAAAATGGGATTTCAAGATCTATACAGGTAATCCATTTTAGGTATAACTTATTATTAATAACAAGCATGAAACCTGTTGATGTAACTTAGAGCAGTCATTTTCCTGTGGTGTTGTCATTTTAACTTTTAAATCTCTATAACTGCTGATCCAGCCCCATATTTTTTTCTTTGAAACGATCGCCTTTGTATACTGTATTAGCTTACATACATGTTGAGTTTTCTTTTTAGATATGAGGCACCGAGTGCGCGAAAAATCACAATCGAGAAAAGCTCTCTTAAAGTTTGGAAAAATACAAATATGACGTAACTTTTGAACCAATGAAGTGGCAGTGTGTAGAGCTCTTAAAGCTAGTTTTGCCTGATACTAAAGTCATATTAATTGAAAAGATTGTCTATACTAAAAACTTAATTGTTTTTATCGTTAATACGCAGTTTCATTAATATGCATTGTTGAGGTATAATTTTCATTACATGGAAGCAGTAATGTATTAAGACCACACCAAAAAGTCAAAGGTCACTGTACTGTTTGTATAAAAGCAAACAATACCAGGTATTACCAATATTTTGACCAAGGGCCAAGCACCAAGAAGTATAATAAAAAAATGCAGGTACTTAAGTCTTAAATATTAGAAAAATTACAGTAAAAACTGACTTGTATTACCAGTATTACCACCCACCAGCCCTCACTCCCACCCTCCTTGCCCTCCCTTCTCTGTGTTTTGTTTATTTTTCTCCTAATGCCTCTCACTCCCTCCTGTCTGCCAGTTGGAAAATAAAGAAAGGTTCAAGTGTTGTTACATAGGATTCTTATGACATTTTTGTAGAAACATGGACTCCCATTAGCTAAGAAACCAGAAAATAATGAGTCGCTATGAGCGAGAGAGGCTATGATTGGGGGCCGCAGGCACTTGTCCCCTTGTCTCCCTCAGTCCGCCTCGAGGCGCAGATCACGTACAGTACTGTAGAGGCACTTTTACCTACCTTCACTAATATGGCTCTCAGCCTTATAAATATTGTGCTATGGCGACAGTTTGTGTTTCTGCAGATAGAGAAAAGGTTGGGGAGTACAGATAGTACTGTAACTCAATTTTGGGGGCGTGCCGCTTGGTTCCTTGTTGCACTTGGCGTCTCATATGTAATATCACAACCTTTCACTTCTACTTACTGCCTCTGTTTTAGGTACCATATTTTACAGCATATAAGATGCACCCCAACTATTTCAGCAGGGAGTATTTAGGAAAAAAAACTTTGTGTATTTTCCTCCTGTAGCCATAGTTTTCTTAAAATAATATATACAGTACCAGTAAATGTGAGGAATAATAAAAATAATACCAATAAGTAAGTTACACCTGAGCCGACTCCTTAGCAACACTCCCCACCCCTTACACTCTGCGCCCTCCTCCTGCTCCCTCACTGAGCCAGCTAACTCGTGTGCAAAAAATGAAAGAAATTAAATTCCCTTTGTGTGTTTGCCCTTATGTCAATTATTTCTTTTACCTTTTTCACAGTATGTATGCAGGATGGTGTGTGCATGTAACTGAGTAAAAATAAATGAAGAACGTTACCTATATCTACCCGAAAGTTCGAGTTGAAAAAAAAACCATAACACCTCACAGTACATCTTGGCCTAGTAGAATGCTGGTTACAGTGATGAGTCTAACTTGGCTACAATACCACTAGCGATATTAACAGATGCAAATGTGAAAGAAAGTTATCCGTAAATCTTCATTTGTATCGAGTATTTGCAGGTTTAAAAATAATTGTTGCAGGTATGACATTATTAGATAGCTTGTAGTACTGCTTGTAAAAGTTCAGAAATGGTTACTGCTTAACTACCTCTGAAGAGTTGGCTGTCTGCCATATGGGTGTTAACCCTTAGGTCCCGGGTGACGTTCCAGCCAGCAGCACCCCTAACCCGGGGCTTGAGAGTTAATCATCTCAGGTTATCATCATCAGTACAGTAGTAATGAATCCAGCTTTTATATTTACAATAATTACCTTTTTGATTAATTAATAATGTGTTTAAGTAAGCAATTACATATTTTTAATTCTGGAGTTGGGTTAGGTAGAATTTAACCAACTGAAGACACCAATTGGGGGACTCATTATCCTACAGGAGACTGCAACTTCATTTATTGGATGCAGGCCGAGTTTTTGAGCCGTAAAATACAGTAATTTATTGAGCTACTTCTGATTTTATCCCCAACTCCTCCTCTTCCAGCATTTGTCATTTCAGCTCTCCATTTATACTCAATCAATAACCCTTTCCATAGATCTGAGTGGGATAATGTAAGTACGACCAGCTCGGAGAGGGAGAACAGACATAGAGAGAGGGATGATGAGAGTTTGGACGAGGTTGTACTTCGAAGACCACAACAGGCCGACCTTTCTGATGTCACCATCCAACCATTAGAGAAAAACAGAGAAGGAAGGAATGCAAGGGCCACCAAACAAGAAAATGATTTGTTAGCCTTGCGAAAGAAGACCAGAAAACGTACCCGAAAGTTTGTTGTTGATGGTGTAGTTGTTACTACAAGACAGGTGATTATTTCTACATCCTTTTTATATTGTATATTGCTGTGTTCAAATTAAGACTAAAATGATTACTGTCTTTTTAACTGTCCCACTAAGAAGAATGATAGTCTAAGTAAGTAAATGAAATTAGCTACATTGAAATCTTGAGTAATCATTTTGAGCAGTTTGCAGCTTAAATTACTTAATAATATTCATAGATTTCAATCTGTCATCTTTATAGCATTTATATTTTTTCAGTTGTTTTATATGAGTATTCGTTACTCAGTCATATTGCTTCTTTTATTGGAAAAAATTAACAACATACAGTACAGCGAAGTGAAGTGTGTAGGGGCAGACAAAAATTGGAATATTAAAGTGAGGGCTGTGTAAGGGCTTAAATACAAATTTGACCATGTATTTTGCCATTGGCATTGTGAATTATGGTCAGTACATTGATTAAATACCTTTGAGCAAAAAAAAAATAATAATTTTCTCTCACTTGGCTGCAGAATTATTGGTTTACAGTAATTATGTTAGGATTTAAATTTATTACTCTTAGAATATTATGTTCTTGATAATTAATTTGTGTTATTCTTGTGTTGTACTGTAGGTCTTTTATGAAGATGAGGGAATGGGCACTGGCCACTTTTCAAGAAAGCAAGAGCTGCGAGAGCTTAAGATCCTTCAAAAAATTGAGCAGAAGCAGTTCCAGGAATTGGCTGTTAAGGCCAATTTTGCCAAAGCAGAACAGGAAAAGAAGTTTGACCTAGAGAGGCAACAACTGCTACGAGGATATGATACTGAAATAGAAGCTCTGAACAGACAACAAAAACAGCAGGTATTTACATTGATTTCCTTAAAATTAAATGTCGGAGCTTAAAAATTAAAAGGAAATTTAGAATTCATTTTTAAATAGAAACATAGTTAATGTAAATGCCTTCTGAGTATTTAAGGGATAATCAGACCCATCACGTTGAACTCGAACGTTATAATTCGGTCAAATTTGTTGAATACAATTCATTCTTAGAATTTCAAGTAATAAATCATACATAGGCAATCATACATAAATGTGTAATCCAATATATATTCACATGACACTCATAGCTATGTAATTAGTCTAATCTTAACACTTATAATGACTACTTAATTTGCCATATTTCCATGTTGTCACAATGATAACCGATGCAATGGACAAAGTCTACCTGTGTAAACTTAAGTACAAGTTAAAACTTACGTGTTGAAAGTCTCAAGAGAAACAGGTTAGGTGTTGACTCTTTGATGGGGATAGCTACAGTGGCAGTGCCCTGCCTGGCATCACATACCCAGCCCTGGCTGGCCAACTTTGCTGCATCAGGTGTTTATACGCAAACAAGCTTACCTTACTACCACCCAACACACCAACCTCCTCCGTGTCTCTCCTTCTCCACCATCTCAACACTGTAAATACAGGCAGGCACGCCCAATAAACATGACATGACTTACAGCCTAGCATAATATTTGTTTATGGGTCATCCTACTCATTACTGCTTGCGGTAACAGTTAATGTATCCTTAAATGTAGTTTTGTTTCAAATTGTAAATTTACCTATTCTTGGTAGTGATTATTGCTCCTATTATCTCCTGTTTGATTTAGCTGGGGTTTATACTTTGGTTTTTGTTCCTTTAATCAGGTGGAGAAAGCAGAAGCTCTGCAAGAGGTTGAATTGAAGAATGCCAGCAAAAAGATAAGAGCTGAACAAGAACGTGAACTGAAGGCTTTCCGCGAGTCCCTCAAGACAGAACTCAAACTCTTGAAACAAGAGGTTGATCTTCTGCCCAAAGTAAGTTTTTCATTCGTGATAAGTGAATTGCATAGCACAGACTCTATAGAAGTACTATTTAATTAATTTACCTCCCCCCCCCCTCCAAGTAAGGCTTAACATTCACTGTTTCATTCGCTCGTCCATTCAAGTTTGTAAGCATGTACTGTACAGTATAAAAACTGTGGTACATGCTGGAGCCCAACATTCAGTTGCTCAAACTTTTCATGCAAAACTATTGTTTTTTGTTAATTAACCCCTTCTCTATGGGGACACCACTTTTGATATTCTATTTGGCTTCTGTATGTGCTAATGCTGTAGTTTGGACGCGTACAAAACAGATGCTATCGATAGATATAAACAAATATGCATGTTCGTCGTGTCTTATTATTTTGTGAGTTTTTGGAACTATATCCTCATGAAACCTTGTGGTGGTGCACTTAATACAGTAAGTCTAGGAGAGTAAACTTCTTAATCCTAGATGTATATTTCCACTGTCAACTGTGTGTTTTGCTACAGCTGGATTTACATGCATGTGCAATAAAAATAAATAATGGAGTATAAAGTGTATTTCTTTTTCTTGGTACTATTTACATCTTCATTATTATGTATTAGGGATGTCAAAGATGTTACTTTTCATTGTTTTTCTTCCTTCTATAATCCTTAGTCTCCAAATGTTAATGATAAGACTCTTTCATCCACATCAAAATTTGTATCAAGTGTAAATTAGTACAATAGATATTTATCAAATGTAATTAATGACTTGCTAAATAGTTAATGATTTTACAAATAAAAACAAAGTCTTAAGTGTAAATGCTGGTAATGATATTTTTTTTTCATTCAACTTACAGGATAAGCGAAAGGAAGCCTTCAAATCTCATAAGGAACGTTTGGATGTTGATCAGAGTGAGAGAGAAAAGTCTTTCCTTGAGAAGTTGCATGAAACCCATGAGGTAAAGATGAGTTTTTCCCGTGGGTTACACCATAAAATCTTATTCACAGGATTGTGAAGATCTTAATAGAAATATTATTGGAGGAATTTGATAAATTAGTGATTACATGTAGCTAAAGATGATACCTGTATTGCTGCATATAGATCTGTCATTATATTTTGGGAGTTTCTACAAAAGTATTAAACATGTGATTAAGAGAATAAGATGCAAAAGAGTAAGTGTAGTGGGAATATATATACTGTATATGATAGAAAGTACAAATTGTATTTGAAGAAGAAAAGTTGGATTATTTATGTACAGGGAAAATACTACTGGTGCTACCCTGTTACAAGTACTGTACTGAAATTGACATGGTTATAATTCATGAAAATAGATTGATTGATGAATAGGTTTTGTTTTTTCTTAATTTTACTTTTTTTCCCGATTCAGGTATCCTTGAAACGTTTAGGTGACGACCATCGTGAAAGAATTGCCCTACTGGAGCGGCAGTTCCTTCAGCAAAAACACCAGTTTTTAAGATCAAGAGAATCTGCACTCTGGGAAATGGAAGAACGCCACTTACATGAGAAGCACCAACTGTCCAAGAGACAACTCAAAGATATTTTCTTCCTCCAGAGACACCAGGTTTTAACATTATTCCTTATTAAGTATTTCTGTAATCATGCACAGTGCAGCTATGATAAATTATATAAAGTGATTAAACTTAAGATAGGACTGAATCATGACTGTAGAAGTAGACTGAATTGAATATTATTTTTTTCATGTACATGTACAAATATATTATGATGGATCTATCCTTGGGATTGTTGAGTATGTAGTTATCCCAAACCATTTTAAAGGGTTGTAGCTATTTTATCCTGGAAGGATATTCCACTGACAGACACTCTCATTACCGGTAATTTTGTTTGTCCTCTGTACCTTTACCTTCATATTCATAACTCTTTCCATTCCTTTTTTTATTTATTTACCATTATTCTTAAAATCTGGATGTTTGCCACTTTTCTGTTCTCTTTGCCATCTGAGCATTCATTTTACTCTGTTAACCCTTAAAGCCTGGGTGACGTTCTTCTATGTCCTTAATTTTCACGGCATAGTTTAAATTTCCGGATGGGACAAAGTACTTTGTATAGAATATTTAATTACTTGACAACTCAACTCACACGTAATCTTTGTCTGAAGTCTAGTGGTCCAGTTACCCACCTGTTGTCAAGATGGATGCATGTCCTTTGACTTCTTGTGATCAACTTTGCTCTTCTATACCCTAGACAGTGCTAGTCATCAAAAGTTGCTTGATTTGAGTGACATTGATACGGGTAACGAAGACAATGATGGGGAGGAAACAGACCCAGATGATGTCGAGTTTGTTGAGGTGGCCAGCGGTGAGGACAGTGATACTGACAATGGTGCTCACTCTCCCTCCCCACCCTCTCAGCGTGGTCATGGTTGTTTTTATGCAACGTGTCTAAAACATGGGCATGTATTACATATTGTTATAAAGGGATTACTCTGATGTGGCCCAACAGTGATCCTAGAGTGAATTTTCTTCGCCATGATATCTTCAGTAACTATCTTGTGTTGCATTTCCCTCACATCAATCTAAGCTTCCAGGATCTAGGCTGGAGGTGTGAACATTCACCACCTGATACCTTCTTAACAGATTCTGTGCACAAAGAGGGGCATGTAGGATGCAGACCTTCAATGTACTGGTTGGTACTGCACTACTGCCCTTTATAAGGGAGCATTCTGTGCTATCAATTGGAGGTTTTGTTACTTCTATTCTCCCTGATTATACTGGCAATGGGTAATGAGTTACCCAAGATATATAATACATGGATTAAATGTGAAGGATTGATCATAATTTTTTTTTTAATTAAACATAAATCAGATGTCTCACAATCTGTTCCACCTCTCTTTGGAATGCTTGAACAGGCTGGAAACTGAAGTAGGGTAATCCTGAGTTGATGAGCTACAACTGAACACATGTTCATCTCAAAGCACTTCTTGTAGTAAGATTCCTCAGTCATCAGTATTTATGTAACTGATGCTCCTTCTATGGCCTGTGGCTGTGGTCAGAAATAAATAAATAATTAACTTTTTTCTGAATTGAGTTAGTAACTGGACTTGTTTAATTTAGCATGAGTCACAAACATCAAGGAACCACACCTGGAGTTTTCATTTCAGTCTTGTAGACCAAGGACTGTAACTGAGTCACTGATCTATATTCAGTTGTAAGCTGGGATTTTAGGATCACTACATAATATATCTCGCAATAAAGTTTTCATTGCAGTTATTCATGTCTTTCACCCCCCCCCTCCCTCTTCTCATTCCTTGATGCGTATGTATTCATTTTGACCCACCTTTCACTCCTTACATTTAGTCTTATCTTAAATATTTTGAGTCAAACCCCCTTGAATTCTATAACTTCTTCACATTTTATCATTTAACAACACAACCACTCCTGCTTTAGATCTTAACCTTGTAGACTCTTCCAACTTTTACTCCCATCACGTGTCCTAAACTTGCTTCTCCTCTGCACCTTTAGTTTAATTTCACAGAAAACAAGGACATGCATTTCCCTTTTTTTGCCTCAAAGTTTCAGTCACTCTAATGTCCAGATTACATCCATGGATGTTCAAACACGCTATTTTTCTTTGATATTGGAGTTACCAGCCCTATACCCATAGCTTAAAGCTTAGGGGGGGGGGAGATGTCAGACCTCAAATAGGTAACAGCTTCCATGCCCTTAGAGGTACAGTATATGTGAATATTTAAATTGTAATGTCTAAATTTGTTATTTCTTTATTAGATGCTTCTTCGCCATGATAAGGAACTGGAGCAAGTGAAACGGGTTAACCAGCACATGGAGGAAGAGCTTATTAAGAGACAGCAGGTGAGGGTTTTTTATTTTATTTTATTTATTTATTTTTTTTTTTTTATGTTTGGATTGGTTACGCTTGATTGCTATGGAAACAGTTAAATTTATTATTACAGTAATATCTCCATTAGCCATAATCCCCTTTAGCTATAACTCTACAATACCCGGAATTGAAATTGGCTCGGAATTTTTCCGGAAAAATTCTATCAATTCCGGGTTATTGAACGAGTTTCCGAGGTTGAAAATCAAGCTCATTTTCTTAAAAAATTCTGAGAAGATTCTGAGAAAATCTCTCCATTCTGGGCCTGGGAATTAATTTTGCAGGCATTCCAAGAGATTGAATCTTGCTCAAATGCATCCCCATGTGCCAGGGGCGTGGATTGCTTAGTTCATATTCTGCTACCATTGTAGAAGGTTATTACCTCGTTAGCTGTTGTTTTTGCATAAAATTGTGTTGTGCACTGCTGTATATTACTGTACCAGAACAATCGGCCAATAATACAGTGATAAAGCAGAGTTAAGAATGTAAAATGTGATTACAGTTACGAATACTGTATTATGCTGTACATTTAGTATGTGGAAAATGCTGGAATATTCAAGACATCTTCAGGTCATGAGACCCACTAATCCTCCACCCAACAGTGGGTGAACTGACATTGCATCACAAGGGCAGTAATATGAGACCACTAATCCCCCACAGCTCCATAGGAGTGGAAAGTACCAGTCTTCGTTGTAATACACTGCTTCATTCACAAGGCGCCTCGCACGCCCGTATCATATAGATTTTTAGAATTTTAAATATACAGTATTTAACCAGAGGATTATTCTAGTAGAGAAATAGTTTTTAATTTTATATTAGAACTGTTTTTACAGACTCCGGTATCAACATTTCTTACGTTTTTTCATAAAGGAATGGAGTCCCCATCATGATATTGTGTTAAAATATATTTTTTTAAGGATATATCATTGGAATTGTCTTGTAGAGAGTTTATTCAGGATAGATCATTATATCAAATTGATCTCTTAACACAATTTGAACAGATGCTGTAAAAAAAAGTTTACAGTTTTTTGATAGCAATGAATAATTTTGCTCGTGCACGCAGTCTAGATGTAATGGGAGAGTGTTTATCCGTGCCAGATAATGATGTTTAGTTTAGACTCTGAAAACTTTCTCCAACACCCAGAAACATTCTGGGGATGTGGGCTAGTGTCTGTGTGTGCAAGGTGTGAAATTTAGACTCTTGGAAACTTTTCCCAATATCCAGAAAAATTCCAGGGATGTGTTTCCATTATTATTATTATGTAATCAGTGACTCTGATAGTTTTACACGCTACCCCTCAACCGTCCAGCATCAGAGCTGCTCATGGTTAAAACTGCTAACATTACCAACACCTCCCTACCTTCTACCCACAGTGCGACTGAATAAATAACTATGAATAAAAGAAAGGGGGGGGGGGTGTCCTTGATATCCTTTTCTCCATAATAAATTAATTTTGTGTAATTTTCTTTGGCTTTATTCAAATCTGTGTGTCAACCTTTCTCCCCATCCTTCATCTGTTTATTATTATTATTATTATTATTCTTTCACCAGTTTACTTTCCTTCATTTGCATATAGCACTCATTTCCCTTTTCATAATTCGCACCATTCCCTCTTCCTATTTTTTTCATTTCTCTTCTCTTGTATACAATATACTGTACCTTAGAAGGAGAAAGCCTGAGAAAATGAAGTGGAGGGGAAGCATTGTATTTTATGTTTCTCTTTCAGATTGAAAAGAGACAGTTACCCAAGCGAATCCGCCAAGAGATGAAGGCACGTGAGCTCATGTTCCGCGAGAGCATGAGAATAAGTACATCACACCTTCCTGACTCTCATGAAGATGAGAAAAACAAACTTAAAAAGGTATAAATGGAATCATATATTGCTTTTACTTACAGCCTTAAATAGTATATTGAAAAATTATTGTATCATTTATACTTGAAAGTTATGTTTATTTTTTTTTCTTAGTTTGTAGAGTGATGTATTTTGTGTGTAAAGGAATTTCAGTTTTGTCAAAGGTGTATAAAAACAGTTCCAGGAGAATGAGAAACGTAGATATGAGGCAGAAAAGAAACGTGCTGAGCAGAAACATCAGCGGAAACTAGAGGAGCTCCAGGCAGCCTCAGAATATACTGTGAAGGAACTAGAACAACTTCAGAATGAGAAAAGTAGGTATCACTGTTTTATATTTGTAACCATGAAATGTGCATCACCCAACATCTTTGCTGACAAATTTCCTTTTTGCTTTATTTGGTCAAGTTTTTAACTAATTAAAATGCAATTGTATTAAAATTTATAATAGTTGAACTGTATATGGTATGTGGCAATAGGTCAGTCACTTGATTTTACATATTTAATCAAGTGTATATTGTCTACTTAAAAAGTAATTACTGTAAGACCTCAATAAATCGAACTTCAATATATCGGAATTTGCCTTTTTTGGACTCGGGTACTCTGGTCACCAGAAATACAAAAAAAAAAATAATATTTTAAAAAACGGGAAGATTATAAATAAAACTTATGAAATGAACAACACTTAATGCAGGGGTTCCCAAGCTTTTTCTAGCTTACCCCATCCAGTGTTGTCAACTATCCCGTGCGACCCCAAATCATTTCACTGGCAGACCCAAAGGACCCCATGACCTCTTTGCGCCCATACCTAATGAGCCTTCCGACCCCATTTGGGGTCGCGACCCCAGGTTTGGGAACCCCCGACTTAATGAATACTGTACAGTGGTGTAATCAGATTTGCTATAGGCCTACTGAGAACTAAGACACCTGAGTATGCAAGTAGGCTGGGGCTGATCAGGTGTTGCCACATTCGTCAGGTTTATTTATTGATTGATTCAGTATTATATTCTCATATGATTGGCCTCTTATGGTTTATGGTTCATCGTGATTAATATAACATCTTCAGCAATAGAGAAGAAATACAATACTGTATGTTATTTGTAATATGACTTGAAAATACTGTAAAAGAATAAGCTGTATTAGGTTATTTACTCAAGATACGTTCATGTGAGAGCTTTCAGCAGACCAGCTTACAACAGGGGTCACTATAACACACTGTATAGTATATGATATGAAGATGCCTTCCTAACAAAATTATTTACTACCTTTGAGTGTTATATGATAGCTCAATTTGGCTACTTGTACTTGTACGTTTGGTGTAAATGGGGTGAAAATGGTCAAGAAAATAAAAACTCGAGATATGGCTTCACTCACAAGGTGTGGGATGCTGCTGTATGATGGCAGAGTTTCATTGCTATATCATTCATATTTATGGAGTTATTGGGGGTTTTCTGACCCCCCTAATCTGTGCCGCCAAAGGGTAACCTGTCGGTGATTGCTGTAAAAAAAAAAAAAATTATAATAGCCTGAAAAGGTCACTAAAATTACTCGAGATATTCAACCTTGACAACATTTCCCCACTCCCTGCGCAATCTCGTCAGAGATGGAGGGTGTTACACGGCTCCTGAGCTGCCCGTATCTCAAAACTAACTTTTTTAATAATAAACAATTAATATCACAGCCACTTTTATTATCTATATCAGTGAAACAAAAAGCAGATAAAAGATAAGCCAAGACTACAAAGTTACACATTTTGATTTTTATTATCTTGTAAAGGCTTTTCTTTTTTCTTTCCCTTTTTTCCCAGAAAATTTTTGCAAAAAAAAAATTGCTATTTTTTTTTCTCTCAAAATTCAGATAAAAAAAAATATATTGATTCGTAGTTGTCAAGAACGAATCTTGTTGTCTTTGGAGAAAGAGTTTCATGTTCAACAAATCATTAGTTATGATGGTATTAACTTATTAAGTAATGATAAATGCACTACAATAGTAATTATTAAGTGATGATAAATGCACAACTGTACTGTACTAATTTACTAAGTGTTGAACACAGATGTTGTGGTAAGCCAATCAGCTGTTTGCCCTTTGTAAACAAATGCCTTATGGTATTCAGTGTGGGATTCTTTTTTCAGGAAAGCCGAGTCTTTTAGGATAATATTTTATTAACCTGGTACCAAATTAACCCAAATTATAGGAGAATTATGGTGAAAATGTTTAAGGAATCTTGGGGGAGAGGGGAAGGGAGCCACCCACCAATGCAGCAGGCAGAGGGGAGGGGAAGGGGGCTTCCCCTCCCCCGAGTCCTCCCAGATATACACTCATCTTCCACATACAATATACTCTGACACTTGTGTGTTCTTATTTTTATCTTTATAGTACTGTACAGTATACAGTTTTCTCTTTATTCATAAGACAAATTTTGTTGTTACTTACATATAACATTTTACAGTAAATAACAATCATCTTGGTGACAACAGTTGTTGACAACCGGACTTAAGTGTGATTTTCAACCCACAGAGTTCTGTTTAATATTTTTTTTATTGTTGATGTAATATTCTTTTAATAACCTTGTATACACTTAAAAACCTTAGTTGTTGAGTGTATTAATAACATAACAATAACTGATTTTCTTTAAACAGTTCAGATAAGCACTGTTATCTCCAACCCCCATATACAGTGGTCCCTCGGTTAACGAACGGTTCGGTTAACGAAATACCTTCCATAAGAATCTTCAATTCGATTAACGAACAAAAATTTGATTTACGAAATCCTTACGAACATCACGTTTTGTTGTGAGCATCAGCTGATCAGCTGATGGGCTAGTCTGCCAATTCAGTAATCTGTTCTATGTTTACATTCATTTCCAGTGGAGTAAATATCAATAAAATTGTGCTCTTTAATATTTTTGCATTTTTTATATTAAAATTATTAGTCATTTTAACATTTATTTAACATATTGATAATATATGCAGTACAGGGAACTAGTTTGTTGTGCGCCCATCAGCTGCTTGACTCGGCCACAAGGCGTCAGTTGGGCTCTGTTGACAGTGGAGTGAGCATCTATTTTGTTGGTGTCTTGAATATTTTAGCATTTTTCATTTAAATTATTGGTCATTCTGAAATTTAGTTAACATATTGATAATATATAGCGCAGTGCAGTGTTGATTTAAAGAAAATAATCTTGAATTACACCTAGTGAACTTAAAATTTTATTGGTGAAATGACGGCATCAAGCATGGGTCCCCTGGAAGGTGATTTCTCCCCCATCCCCACTTCCTTCTCTTCTCCCTTCTCTTCCACCCCCACTTCTAATTCCCATCGTCATCATCAACTAGGAACCTTCTACATGCACACCTCAAAGTAAATGTACTTTACTGCATTTTTTTTTTTTTTTACTTTGTATGCTTTTCGGTGAGTTGGAACCAATTACCCAATATCCCATGAAACAATGGATTCGGTTAACGAACGACCTTCTGGAACGAATTGTGTTCGTTGACCGAGGGACCACTGTATTCGCATTTTTCGGACTGGGGTCTGCCCCAATTATTCCGATTTATCGAGGTTCTGCTGTATATTAGACTGTACAGTATGATGGTTGAGCTGTACAGTATTTATTTATTTGTTTATTTATTTTATTTATTTATTTATTTTTTAGGAAAAATGTTGATGGAACATGAGACAAACAAACTCAAGTCTCAAGACGAGGAGTATCAACGTGAGGTACGAGAGTGGAAGGAAAATCTCAAACCCCGGAAACAGGTAGATACCCATACAGTCCATTACAGCCTACTAACCATTATTAACCTTTTATAGTCCTGTTGTTGGTATCTGTCTGGCTGATAGTCTTGGCTAAATTATTAGGAATAACCATACATTGTTCCACTTAGTTCTGGATGATCTTCCTTGATTTTTATTGATTTTATATTCATTTTGTTACTAGCTATTATTTCTTGTGGATTTCTGAAAAGCTTGCGAGTTTTGTTTGATACTCATAAGAGATCATTATTGTATGTAAAGCTTTTTAGTAAGCATTTGTTGATTTTCCCACAAACAATGATATGATGCTTGCATTTATAGTCCAACTTATGCAGTTCAGGACATCTTGTTCTCAGGAATATTGTTTGGTGCTGTTATATGCTTTTTTTGTGACTTAAGTTGTTACTTTTTGAATTTTAATAATTATTTTTGCCAATCTTTAATGAACCACAGTTAACATAGATTAAGAAGGATGCTTTATCATTTCCCATCCTCATTTAATTGCAAAGTCAACCATACTTAGTCAATCTTATTTTTAAGTGTCTCAGTATTGTTCTGTCAGTAGAGGAATTCCAGTTCAGTGATGAGCTCAGCAAATGATATTTAAAAATTATATACCTATGCTTAATTTTTTCTGTGATTTTCTTTATTACATTACTTTGATACATTGTTCTGTTTATAATATTTGTTCTGTATTCTCACAATGGTCAGTGGCTGGTTAAGTTAGGAAAGTTGTTGTATAGGAACGAGATTGCTGCTCAAACTCAGCATCAACTTCTTGCTTAGTCACCATACTGCTGGAACTGTGAGGGGCTCAATAGGGTTTCAGACTTTCACTGATGCATGCCCACTCACGCTTAATCATGATTGCCTTGGATCTTCCACAGTTGTCAATATTTTTTAAAGGTCCTTTACCGAGGTTGTTTTTTCAAAAAGACTTCATTTCACATTTTAAGGTACGGTAAACCCTCGAAGATCCGGACCTGGTAAATCCGGATTTCGGAAGATTCAGACCAAAAAAAATTGGTTCTGGGCTAAGAAGCATTCCCAAAACAGGGTGAAGGTAGTTTTAGGCTTAAAGTTTTTATCTTATAAAATGTAACAGACTAAAATTAGCAGAATATTGCTTGCATTGCTGGAATCTTTGCAAGACGGTGGATAATTTGAATACTGAATAGACATCATATATTTTGCACAAGAAATAAAATTTTTAGTCCTTTAGTGAAGTACATTTAAGTACAAATTTTTCAACTCGTATTTTTGGGTAGATATTGGGGTGGTCCAAAAACAAAAAAATTTACACAATTTATGATTTTGGATAACACATATCTGTTTTTTTCTCGCCTGTTCATTGTGTTTTGCAACTGAGACCTTGTATGCTGTGTCAATTTGAGCTGTAATGTTCACTTTACCTGACAACGATAAATCAATCGTGTTATTCATGTGTTTGGCTGACTGATCATGTTTCATTATTTTCTGTGGCAAATACCTCAAGGCAGTCACACTACTTTTTGTTCATGACAAGTCCCCACCAAACAATGAGCTTGGAAAGCAGAATAAAGCATTTGCCTCATCACAACCACAGAGCCATTCACATTTCTGGTAAACACTGATGTTAAATTGTCGTGTATATTCTTTGTTCCTGCTTGTATTATTCTGTTGAATGGATAAAACTGGTGTAGGTCTTCCTTTTGCTTTGATTTCAGTCTTTTCATTTAATGTCAGCTGGGAAAAGTTGATGCTTTGCAATTGCTTCACTCGATTTTCCATCGTCAAAGGGTAATTAAAGAAAGCACGACTTAACTGCACCGTCCGCACGCAATGTAAACACGAGACTGAGCTGCGCCGACTGCAGCTCATTGTATCCAGATGTGGTGTCAATTAATAACAGACATGAATCGTACAGCAACTCTGAAAGTAACTTAAATTTTGGTCTGGTTTTAATGAAAATTCACTTGGTAACGTACTGAAAATAACATATAATGACTTTATTACGATATATTTGTTAGTAGTGTATTGTTCTGCTGTGTGTCTGAAGGAATCATATGCCTGGCAGTGAGTGTCTGGGGGACTGCAGCTCTGAAGTTCCAAGGCACGAGCCGCCACTGCGCACACACACACACACACATACACACACACACACACACATACACACACACACACATGGGAATTAAGACAACAAGCATCCAGTGAGGGTCTTGTGTGACTGCATGGAGGCGAATTGAAAGATAGCTGTTGACGAGGTTATCGCTTGGCAACACTGGTGCATGTTACCACTACTTTCCACTCCATCTCTCTAATCACCCACACCTTTCTGCCCATTTATACTTATACGTATCACAATCTCCCTAAAAATACTTTAGTTTTCGTGTTTATTCAAGACATTTTCAGGTCATGAGACCCACTAATCCCCTACCAAAGAATGGGTAACCTGACATTCCATCAGAAGGTCAGTAATAAGAGACCACTAATCCCCCATCCTACCTCCACCTGACATTGAGTTCAGGTCAGGTCAGGTCAGGTCCCCCCCCCTCAAAAAAAATAATATATAATAATTTAACATTCATCTTTATTCAAGACATTTTCAGAAATTCTCTCGATTTTCAACTTCGGAAAATTTGTTCCTAAAGCCGGAAATTTTTGGAAAATTCCGGCTTTGGGAATGATTTTCCGAGCAAATTTCAATTTCGGCTATCAGAGATTTCCGGGTTTGAGGGATTCCAGCTAACGTAGATATTACTTTACAGTCCTGCTTTAACTACAATCTGGCCTTGTAAGCTATAAGCTTCTTGTGACGGGAAGCCAATATCTCCTACATTGTTTTGTGCAGGTTTACTAAAGTAAGTGTGGCAGTGTATCTTCGATGCCACGACTTACATTTCACTCTTTGGTGAATATATGGAAAATCAATCTTGGTCCACATCTTGGAAACCATTTCATGTAGGGTCACCTACTGGATATGGTGGTTTACCTTAGGATAGATCTGTGTGACATTCCACACTGGGGTTGGCTTTAACTTATATTCAGAGAGAATGGAAGAGATCAGTTAGGTGAGGAGATGCAGGAGTCTAAATGTGGAGGGAAGGATAGTTAGGGATCGGCCGAGAATGGTGTACTGGAAGAATTTTTAGTGTGCATGTCTTACCTGAGCTCTGTGGTGCAGCTATATTCTACATGTCATAAGACAAACATAACATTCAGGTTAATAAATGCTGAATATATATGCTCTGTGTGTGTGTGCATGCATGTAATAATAATAATAATTAACGGTTTATTGAAAAAGTCGGCAGCCCGAAGGCTGAAAATACTATACATTAGACAAAAATTACTTATTACATGCAAAGACATGGGGTAGGTGGGTCATTTAACAAAAGCTTTCATTACTAAAAGAAGAAGGAACAATGATTGAACATACAAATTATTATAGTTTACTGTTGATGGCCCGGGCCTGGGCTGGTCATGGAGACACCAGGTGGTGAGGTGTTCACGTGGTGTAGTAACTCTTCCTCGGGTGTTGATATGAGGGACCTCACGTGGTCATGGAGACATTGGGTGGTGTGATGTTCACGTGGTGTGGTAACTCGTCCTCGGGTGTTGATATGAGGGACCTCACGTGGTCATGGAGACACCAGGTGGTGTGCTGTTCACGTGATGTAGTAACTCGTCCTCGGGTGTTGATATGAAGGACCTCACGTGGTCATAGAGACATCGGGTGGTGTGCTGTTCACGTGGTGTAGTAACTCATCCTCGGGTGTTGATATGAAGGACCTCACGTGGTCATAGAGACACTATGAGTGTTGTGGTGTTCACGTGGTACAGTGACTCGTCCTCGGGTGTTGATATGAAGGACCTCACATAGTCATGGGGACACCTTGCGGTGTGGGGTGGTGTCACAGTACCTCACTGCGCGGTGATGTTGTGTTATCCCGTAGTCAGGGGCATAGCCGGCCGGCCCTCTGTTGTTCCCAGGGTGGACGGATTAGCACATCCTTGTCAGAAGATGGTGGTTAGTTCCCAGTGGTGCTTATCTCACTGGTGGGTCGCGGCTTTCACTGGTACTGACTAGTGCTGAATTCACTGGCTTAAACACTGTTCAACACTGATCCCACTTCTTTCCGAAACGAAATTGTAACTTTTGATTATGTAGATATCCCGGTGGTGAGGATGGGTCGGGGAGAGGGACTTGGGGAATGGGCCGACATTGGCCAAGGGGGGCAGCTGCGTAGCCGGAGCAGTGCCTGAATAGGTTTTGACCCTACGGTGGTCAAAGGTGTAGTGTGTGTGTGTGTGTCTTGTATGTGTATGCCCTTGCGGCATGTTGTGCATGAGATATTATCCCATGATGCATCACATGTGGGGAAGATGAAAAGTGTGATAGTAGCCTCATATGTGCAAACGTTAGCCTGGTACAGTTCAGTATATAAAGAAATTTGACTGGTATAAAGTAATCATGTATGTGTGAAGCCAGTATAAATGAGGGCAATCTGTATTGTTTTTCATGACATTTATTCTCCCAGATATCTGAAATACCTCGCATACTGCATTCTGTCTCCATTCAAGCTAAATCTCCATATACAGTATAGAATATTTGTCTAATTTGGTCTTATTCTCAATCTAAAGGTTGAAACTTCAGGCCCCAGGGCCCCAACTTGTGCCTGGAATCTCAAAACCAAATAAATTTGATAATTATACGGTATGCCCGGATAATTTGCGGATTTTTATTTTGTGGTCCTCTATTATTCGCGGATGACACCCTGGATGTACCCAAGAATGTCTGTGGGTAGTTTTAAAGTGGCTGGCAGTTTTGCGGCTGGGACAGGAAGCCTTTCGTTCTAGAGAGTAATTTTCTTTACCTGTATTGTAAATATATGTGTGTGTCTGGACACACACACACACACACACAACTTTTTCAATAAACCGTTTATTATTATTATTATTATTACACACACACACACACACACACACATATAAATAAATAATAATAATGAGAAAATCCTCTCACAAATAATCAGAAACAAATTTATTAAAAATGTGACAGTCTACTCTCAAGTCCATGCTAGCAGACTTGTGTCTCAATAATAATATGCACCCAACCCCATTTTCTCCATAAGCCCGAGGTTTCACAAGAACACAACTATCTCGTTGTAACAGAAATGACTGTATATACAATCCCCCCCCGTTCCGCATGGTCAGCAAATGTTATTCGCGGATTTGGCGATTCGCGGCCATTTTGGGAACCTGAACAAATTTGAAGGGCCTACTGCATTAACCTTCACCTTCATAACAAGGCCCTAAAGGGTATCACCTCTTTCAGAAGATACCCTTAAAAGCTTGAGAGATTTATTGAACATGTGATGCTGCAACCCTATAATTTGTTGACATCAGTTACAAAGCCCACAAACCTGATCAACCACCTCAGATCTCAGGTACACTACACAGTACAGATGTGATGTGATCCCGTATTAATCTTGTGGACAGTTAATTTTTCTTTCTGTAATATTAGAATCTTATATAGGGTTCCTTGTAACCATGCCATCCTAGGTCTTATTCAAGTTTTCAGATTATATTGTGAGGGTGCTTATGGTGTTAATAATTCCCTAGTGTTCAGGTAGCTACTTTGCAACGAGTAAGACAAAATCCATTTAGTAGATCAGCATGTCTTTTATTAGGTAATTGTGTCTACAATGAGAAGTCAGACCCAAGGATACCAAGACTTTATCGTGATTTGTTTAGGCGAGGAATCTCAGGAAAGTTTTATATCAGATGTTCACATGGATATCCTGCCTCGAGGATTTCAACTATGCCCACAACATACTCTGTCAAGGCTTATTTCATGATCCTTTATTTTCTGTTTCAAACATATTTGAAATCCTCTAAAGAACTGGATAGCTGGCTATTAAATTTATTTTTGTTTGGTTTGAATAATATAAGGTTATTTTTCAGATCATTCTCATTTCTCACTAATTCTCAAAAGTCTGATCTCCACACCTCAGGTTTGAGTGCATTATAACCTGGCACTTTATAACTCATGTCAACAAATGAAGGAATTTGAGCATTCCTTGTTTACAACAAAACTCAAGTATTCATTTATTTAGTGTATGGTACTGCCTTGGCAAGTGGACATACGTACTGTACTTCAGGACTCAAACGTGAAGGTGAAGGATAATTTGATTACTAAATTTAATCAGTTTTTAAATCCCAATCAAGAGTTTAGGCCTTTTGGCCAGGGTTAATGACCTCGAGCCTTACGGCTATCCACATTTTGCTCAACCTTGACTGGGTTATGAAACAGAAATTCAGGATGAATCCTTCAAAAAAATATAAGGTGGAGACAGCTCATAAGAGAGCTGTAATGCCTGGATCAATAGTGAGAAAAGAAAAGGGAAGTACAGCATGCCCTTAAATTTTGCAGGGGTTTGGGTCTCAAAATGGCCGCGAATATCCAAATCCGCAAATCTCATTTGCTGACTGGGGGGTGGGGGGGGGTTACATTTTTACTCGTGGGCAAAGAAATGTATATTCCCTTTGTGTTTGTCCTTAGGATAATTATTTCTTTTACCTGTATTGTATATATGTGTGTGAATAGACACACAAACACATACACACAAAACACATACAAATAAATAACAATGGGAAAATCCTCTCACAAATAATCAGAAACAAGACAACAAAATGTAGAAAAAATTTGAGTCTACCCTCAAGTCAACTCCGTGTTGACTGAGTTGAAATATTTTCTACATTTTGTTGTTTTGTTTCTGATTATTTGTGAGAGGATTTTCCCATTGTTATTTATTTCTGTGTGTTTTGCATGTGTGTGTCTACATACACACACATATACAGTACAATACAGGTAAAAGTAATTACTGTCTCTAGAACGAATTGCTCCCTGTCCCAGCTGTAAAAATGCCAGCAACTTTAAAACTACCTTTAGACACTCTTGGGTACATCCTGGGTGTCATCCGGTAATAGTCAAGGTCTGCGAATTTATAATCCACGAATTGTCAGGGCATGCTGTATTAGAGATTTATCCTCTTGTGAATTGATTCAGTCCTGAGGCTGGTTATCCTTTCACTTTACCTGGCTATGAAATTAAAGGTTACGGGTAGTTGAAAGTGGAAAGATTTATAACCTTACTGGGACACCCTTTATGTGTTTTTCCATTTACAGGCTGTATAATTATTGGCATTACAGTATATTGTCCTTGGGGTGGTTAATACTGCTGTTGGGATTGTTGCATTAGTCATGGAATTATTCTGAGATGGGAAACACAATAAGCTTCATAATTTCAATGTAGACCATGTTTTCATTGTCTGCTTTAGTGCAGTATTACATAGAATCTAAAGTAGTACGGGCAAGTTATGGAAAACATGGTCAACCCCCCAAAAATTACTTCGGAAGGTATACTGTTGCAAAAAATAAAAATAAAAATATCAGTGCCTGGTCAAGCATATGCATCCACCATCATTTCAATTTAGTTTTTCCAAAGTTAGTAACTGGTATGTATCAGCCACTGGCCAGTATGTGTAGACACCTGAGGTTTTTTTTTTTTATTATTAGATCAGTCTCAGTTTCCATATGCAAAGAACTTGTCTAATACTTCAGACAGGTTGTTTGTAATTGTCACTGTATATGATAAATGTATTATAGTACATATAAAGATGACAAGGAAATTTTCAAGTACACAACCTGATGTTGTTTGTAAGAGCATTGCTGCACTGGAATGCATCTCAGTTATCATCATCATTATCAACCAAACTAAGCAGGCTGTTGGACAGCTCGTAAAAGTTTTAGTTAAACTGGACTATCAGTCCCTCCATAATTGTTGCACAGGGACTGGAGAAGGACTTTCATGCTGATTGGATCTTTGCACAGAGAACACATCTTGACTACCAGGTGGATAATACAGTATTTCAGAATACAGTAGCATGATTTAGGGTAAGATTCTCTGTAGGACGTGTTCTCTTTTGACACTGTTCAGAGGGATGGCAAGGATAATGCATGAATTCAGTTTTCAGTTTGCATTTTATTGTAGTAAATTTTTTTCTGTTATGGCTTCTCAGTATTGTAGTGCCAGCACATTTTCACTCATTTTCTTGTTTGATTATTACTTGATAAGGGTTTCCCAATACAGGTATGTAAGTAACATGACACTGAATACTTTATAAAGGCAATTTGACCAGAATAATTTTAATGAAATTAAGTGGTATCATGAGATAAGCAGAATAGTAATTAATAGATAGCTTGGATAAAGGCAGATAAAAAATGGTGTAGCTCTGTATATGTAAAGGATAACATTAGGCAGTGTTTGGAAGAGAATGAATTAAACAGACCAAGGTACTGTGAGTTGTACTACATGTAACAAATTGGACTACGTTGATAAAAGGTTAAACTGAAGTAGAGATTTTAGATTAATCTGGATGAATTAACTCTCAAGCTCAATCAAAGGTGACAGTGAAAGTGTTTTGTAGACAAATAGAACATAGATGAGAGAGATATGAGTGAGAATAACCTTTTGGGAGATTTGTAAAGATTATTACAATAAAGCTCCACTGTTTGCAGAATCACCATCCTCAGATTCGTATACAGTATTTGTTTTGTATGTCACTGTATATCTATTCACTATCTGCATTATGTTGCTCCTCATTTCTTCAATTTATTCCCACTGTGCTTCACTCGTGTGTTTTTGTGCCTAGCACGCCACGTGACATGGAACCCAATTATAATGTAATACAGTAGATCCTCGATATACTGCGACTCGATACTTTGCAGTCATTATTTCGTGGCATCCCAAATAAGTTCTGTTTCCTTATTGGATGGCCAAACTCCTATATTTCACGGGTTAAGCCAAGAAGAATGTAAGTTACAGTAAGTTGACCACCGTATTCAGCACTGGGTGACAAGTGTTTACAGTGTACAGTAATGTAGAGGGTATTTTGTATTGTGGCTGAATATTTCATAACACCCTACAGTACTATTGAGAAGAAGAGGCATGCTGTTACTTTTGATGAAAAATTAAAACAATCCCCTTCATATTCACTTGAGAGCCACCCTTTACCTCTAAGCAATAGATTCCCTCCTCATTTAGAAGTGTCTCTCATGTTCAAGTATGCAAGTGGATACAGTAATTTAAGGTAGGAAACAGATATTATCACAATGTTCTGACTGTATGGTAGAACTGCTAGGAGACAAAATTATCACGAGTTGGTGAGAAATCAAATAAGTTTACTGTACCTTGAAAGTATTCTGGAACATATCTCAGTCATGTTGCTATCTTGCCAAAATTAGTTTAATGTTAATAGTTGGGGTTATTTTTATGAAATTTTTCTCATATAAATGGGACTGTACTTGACTTAAAAGCATATAAAACTTTGAACAAAACTTTTTGATTGAGTGTTTTGAGTGAAAAAAAAAGGTAAATGAAAATATTGGAAATGGTGTAATACAATGAAAAATATGAAAATTTACTTCAACAAGCCTCTCTCTGTCTCTCCTTCCCTCCTGAAAAACAAATCAAACAAGCAAAGAGAAGTCAGAAATAATGTTATTTGTTAAATTTAGGCCTCTAGTGATAGCCACAGCTCATTCCCCATTTTTAAAGCACATTAACGTATCCATTTTCACCATTGATCAGCTGGCTAGCCACCTGGTCCTTTTCCTGGTACAGTACACACTTTTGGTAGGTATTGTTATGGGTGGTACAGTGGTACCAACTTGGGTTTTATCCTGGTACTCTGGTTTCCTCCTGTAGTAACACTGGATAATGAAGGTTGTATGTATGGGCTCCAGAATGTACCAGAACGTGAGTCAGTTTTGGTCTAGAGTCTGTTCTTAAAGAAGCTCACACTCAGCGCTGTCACCAACATTGTCTGAGAGGTTATTCCAAGAGTTCACAACTCTTCAAAAAGTTAGCTCTTAAAATTCTCTGAACTTGTGGCATCCTTAACTTGAAGCTGTGATTGTGATTGTTGTACCCACAATGGGTTAACAAATCAATATTTTCAATATGGCAGACAATAGAGACCTCAGTCCCCCAGTAAGCAGCCTGTATCACAAGAGTTGCCTGGCTACAGTCTCTGCTTGAAAATAGGTTTTCAGGATCACTCCATCATTTTTCTTTTTTGTTAAGAAAATCAGTTAGGCCTACCATAGATTACAGTACCTGTGGTAGTCCATAATACAGTCCTAACACTTTTTTTTCCTGCTGATTACATGATGGGCTGAGACAAGAGTAGACATACTCATTTTTCCTTCATTTGTTTTTTATTCATTAATTGTTGCTGCTGTTAAAGATATTTATGTTGCGGTACTCCCCTTTTCCACAACAATGCCCTATAATTTGGTTTATATCAGTTGTTCACACGAGCTAGGAGCACTACCTTCCCCAAAATTACTAGAAACCATGATCACCACTCACTCTTGAACACTTCTTTTTCTTCAACACATTTGCTATTGTTTCATTTCAGGTAATATTGTGTGAGTTAAGTGCGTTTTAAAGTTTTAGGAGCTAGTCTGAGCCATGATGGTTCAATTTGCAGGTGCAACCATAATGAATCAAGTTGAAAATTTTTTTAAGGTTTACATAAATGTCTGTTTTTGTTTTTTTATAAGTAATAACTAGTAATACAAGTATTTACTAGTTAGTTTTGTGAGTCTTAACTAGTAGTTATTTAAACTTTATTTATTACATGGTAATACATTTTTCAGTAGTTTAAGACATTCACTTACCTATCTGTAAAGTTAGGTACCAATTCATGGCCTGATGGACTGTAGGTGCCCCTGGCATAATCCAATGACCCATAGGACAGGAGGTGAGTGTTGTATCCACTCGGCTGCCTTTCACGGTAGGATTGCTTATAAGACTTTTTTTTCCAGAATAGAATTCAAGTGGAAATTGGGATTTTCTTAGATTTTTTTTTTTTTTTTATACTGGAACTTAGTGGATATACAAGTTTTACTGGGGATTAAGTGTGCAGACAAAGGAATAATTTAATGGATACTTTAAGAATGTTGTACGTAAAGGCAGAGTGGGCCTACATCAGACAGGCAAAATCGGTGTTACTTCCATTTAATTAAAGTGATAAATGGCTTAGCATAGTAAGCGTCTGCTTGGACTGTATTTGTAAGGAAAATTTGGTAACCTGTCATAGGTGAGGAAGAAAGAGGAATGTGTATGGGTGTTACATTGTATATTGGAGGTTGTGGATGTATCAGACATGAAGAAGTAAGCAATAGCAGCCTGCAGTATTTGGATTTATAAAAGATGTATGATAGACTAAATAGAACTAAGATTTGAGAAGCATCGGTTCCATATTTGACATTTGTGAAAATATTTAATGTCTTTTAGGTTCATATGATGAAGTGACTTATAAATAAGTTCAGTATACAGTAATGGGTTTAATGAGATATATTTTTTAATTTGTGTTTTATTTCACTTCAAAAATTGATTCACAGACTTTGTCGCATATTTTATGAATACAGTATAGAATTTGACATTAATTCTGTATTTATTGTATTCTAAATGTACAGATAGTTATCTTACAAGGTTGCGTAAAAGTAATTATTCGTATTTTTATATACTTTCGTACAACGTATTGCTCCTGTGTTGTCCTTATGTAAATAAAATTGTTAGTGGTACATGCAATTGTACTGTATTCATCTCTGAATAGGTTTCAATAGTTAGTGAATTACCAGTCAAGGGGGATTTTTTTTTTTTTTTTTATAATCCATATTTCTAATTGAATACTGTACTATGTTGATGTATTTTATATAAAATCTACATTTGAGGGATTTTTTAATATTCTTCACCAATAGATGCAGGGAAAGTTCTGCTTATATGTACTGTAGGGCTCTTGTCTTGGCAGCATCACTGTCACTTGCTGTTGTGTGCATCTCATTTTGCTAAGATAAAATATCGTACTGTACTATAATTGGCTTTGCTAGTAACTGTTGCACAATCACTGCATGTACAAAGAAAGATGCCTGTTGATACAAAGCATGATGATAATTTACCAACAGCTTAAAAAGTTTTGATAATTTTTTCAAGGTCTTGTGAAATTTATGAAAAATTTATTTAAGTTGATGATTATATTTGATTTATGATTAATATAGATATTGTATAATATATCCTCACTCTTTTTTGCCCTTCAGAAATTGGAAGAGGAATTTGAAAAACAGCTGAATGAACAGGAGCAGTTCTATGGAGCTTATTTGTGTCGTGGCCTGGGTTCTAGTGTGACTCCTTCACAATCAACTTCCAGTCTTGCTCGCTCTAATACATCCTAGAACTAAAAATTGCCATCTCCACCAATTAGCCTAGCTTTCAAATTAATTACAAAAGTCATAAATCTGAAAGATATAGTGAACTTAATGAGAAAGGCATGAAATGGAGTTGGATACCCATGTTTGTTAATATGTGGGATTTATATCCAAGTGCTGTATTTAGAGTCAAACAATGAATATGAAGCACTTACTTTGACCAAGACACTAAAATTTATTCATTTTATTGCTCTAACTTTCATCATAAAAACTTGTTTTGTGTTATTCAGTGCAAGTAAACGTCTATAGGAACATGAGATACTGTATTTAGTTGGAATTGATGAGTGACTTCTCCAGTGTATCACTTCATTTGAGTGTATCTTTGAAAATTGCCACAATGTAATAACGGTCTTTATATCCACATTGATTGTGCCTATTACAGTAACTTTTTTTATAGAGCATAAACCATTACTTGAATCAGCACTTAACTTTTTTGCTTGGCCATTGTTCAATACTTGCTGATTTGAAACAGGATAATTATAATTCCTGCTGATTGCCCCTGACTGTATGCCAATACATATAGTGAACCAGCAAACCAAAATCATAAGTGATTGGAGTATTCTGCCGTGACAGGTGAGCTGAATTGATAATGGCTGTCAAAATTATCCCATTCTGATATCCTAGAAGATCTCAGGTTGGCTCTGCTAAGTAAGAATTGTGTTATCTTTACATACAGAGTAATGTAATGAATCAAAATCCCATGGATAGTCTACATTACCTGTTTTGTATCCTATATTCTTTGCATTAGATTCAATTTTATGTATTTTTTCGTAGCAACACCACCACAGTATCAAAATAATTTTTGCAGTTCAACAATAAACTTTAAAAAAAATTTACTCATGTTATTGACAATCACTATTGTTGTGTGAATATATTGAAGATGTTATTGGGTCAATGCATTGTAGCTGATATACAACTTTTGCAATATTTCCAACTATTTATGTGCAATATACAGACATGACAAAAGTTTTGAAGTTTGAATTTGTTTTTTTTTTTCTATTTTTTTTATGGTATACAGTACTCATAATGTGTTAAAATGTGTAGAACCCTGTATGACTAAAAACAATTGACATTTAGGAATAGGGGCAAAAATGTAACATTTGTTTATATATACTGTATATTGATAAACAAATTTAAAATTTAATTTTTTATTTTTTTATTTTAATTATATAAATATTGGCTGCACAAATTTAGGGTCAGATGTGCATTCATGAGTGCTAAAATTATATAAAATCAATTAGATCAGTAGTGGTGGTTCCCCCCCAAAATTGTAGTAAATCACAAAGAGAATACTTTTTGCACCGAGTATTCACATGATTTTGATGTATTGTCTCGTTAAATTAAGGTCTCAGTATTGTTTACCAAAATATTTTTGTTCACAGACTGTGGGAAACGTTTTACTTATTTAACAGCACAAAGCAGGAAATGAAGTCGGTGTAAAGAAGGGCTAGTTCATATGAGATAAGTATAATCATGAATGGTCTTTTATAGTTTTAAAGAAATTTGTGGAACATTTGAAGGTTTTCACAATAATATGTATATTTAAAATTGCTTCCATATTGGAATGATTCAGATGAGAAGTTTTATAGATGTAATGTTATTTATGAACCCCACATCAATTGTATCCTTGACAAAATTGTGCCTAAGCAATCCATTGGGCTGGTGGAAATGCAGCACACCATCAAGCAATGTTTTGACTCACTGGCTTGAACCATTAATGATCTCCATCCCAAAATGTCAGCTCCATGTTCATTTTACTTGACCTTTGTTAAAAAAAGCAGTATTGAGTTTTCTGAATGGATGTTGTATAATCCAGTTTTGAAAAAAAGATTTACTAAGGAAGTTAATGACATATAGTGGTATACATGTAATTTATTTACAAAGTGATAAATAAGATCATGTTTTGTAGGATAAGTAGGTAATACAAATACAAGTGCTGTTATTGTTTATTCATTTCATAAGATTCTCTGTTAAAGCAGGATGAGTACTCTCTTGTAGGTACTAACCTCGAGTGCAGTAGTGTCAATTGCTCTGGGAGACACGTGGTTGTCATCATATTATGAATGTTCAGTATCCTGAAATCCCCAACCACGACTGGGTACTGCAGTTGGAGAGAAGAATGTAAAATGCTCATAGTAATAGCTCTTAGCTTTATAGTTCCATAACATTTGTAAGAATGGTGAATTGTATTATACTGAAGCATTTTCACCTTGTCTTCTGAGGTAGTTTTTTTTTTATTTTTATTTTTTTGCTTTGTAGATAATTTTTTAACTCGCCTGTGTATATCCTCTGAAAACTGCACATCACTTGTAAAGATAATTGGTTTGAATATTAATTCTCCTATAGAATACTTGTGCGATGAAAGTTATTCTGTATACCACAATACAGATTATCAAAGGCTTGTAACTAAAAAAAAAAAGTCACAAAACATGATTATTTTTTCTTGATAATTTTACTTCAAATAAGTTTTTGAATTACTTGAAGTTGGTCATCCCTATGATGACCAAGGTATTGATGTTGTGGAAACTGAACCGGTTATAATGTAAGAAAATGGAATTATGTTTGAAAAATGCTTAACATGCAACATTTACTTATTTCACATTTAACTGCCATACCTGATACATGTACCAGTACTGTACATGAAAACTTAAGTTTAAACATTTGACATATTAACTGGATCATGTGTTGTGTCTACTGGGCAAAGTAGAATTTCAATTACATATTCAACAAGTATAAAAGTTGCCCAGAAACAGTTTGGTTACGTTGCCTGTGATAAAGTTAAGACCTCAAATTTATATTAGTTTGTACATTGCACAATCTGATTTCTTAAGATTGTGCAGTTGGCTGATGTATGAAAAGCCTTTTAGTGAGGAATAGAAATAATTGTGATGGATATATTTTTTTTTTTCAGACACTTTGATGCTAAAATAAATTCTCTATTATTCTCAAATATGGAAAAACTCATAAGTAAGGTTGATATTTCCATACCAATCTGAATCAAGATGTGGTCCATCTTTTACATTTTGGACTCTTACATTTGCCTTTTATAGAATCCATTTACACATCTTTTTGTACTTAGAAAATAATAATTGACTTGAACAGAGTACTTTTTATCAGTCATTTGATGTTAATCACTTGAATAGATTTTGAAGTTTTATGTGCATATAATTGTACGGTAAACTTTTTCTGTTTTACAAATCGAGAAAAATATTTTATTTTTTTGTAAAATCTTTATATTGGTAACAATTCCATCCTGCTCGGGTCAAAACTTGTAATGTGTGGATGTTTACTTTTATGACCCTTTAATAGTATGTAGGTTATCACCTTTGTCAATTTTGATTCTTTTGTCAGATCTTATTGCTTATTTGATATGACTTTTTGTTAGTCCTATATAGTTATTGTAATGTATGACTGTAATATGTTCATTCACATGAGCGTCCATTTAGGACAAGTGGAATGTAAAAACCAATGTAAGGTAAGTTTACATATATACTTGTTGAAAAATATAATGTGTAAAGAAATAAATTGCTTTATTAAGAAATAAGTTTATTAAATACCATCCTACTCCCTTTCTTATGTGGTATCCCACAGGGTTCTGTTCTCTCACCTACTCTCTTCCTTCTTTTTATCAATGATTTACTTCACACTAAGACTAATTCTATCTATTCTTACACTGATGATTCTACTCTTCATTCATCTTCATATTTTCCCCTTCCCCCCTAATTCTCAAAATAGAGTTCATATAATTTCATCTGTCAATGCGAATCTGTGCAGCATCTCCGAATGGGGAGGTAGAAACTTGGTTAAATTCAATAGTATTAAAACACAATATTTGCCAATTACAATATATATATATATATATATATATATATATATATATATATATATATATATATATATATATATATATATATATATATATATATATATATATATATATACCCGATTTACGAGGTCAATTGAACCCACGGGGTACCGCGTAAATGGAATAACAGAACATATGGGATTAATTCCAATAGAGACTGGCCCGACCCCCAAACTCCACTTTTTCAGACACAATACCTACGTTGTAGTAAAAATAACATCTTAATTTTATGATGGTATGCACACACAATTAATAATTAAGAGAAATATCAATAATATTAGGTTTTTTAACACTTACATTAGTAGAAAAGATGGCTGGGCACACGGGGATGGGGGGGTTGGTTCCGAGGCAGAGGGCAGATCATTGGCCCTCACCTGTATCACTTGTATCAATTGTATTACTATCCACCACAGAGGCTTGCAGGGCCTCTTTGTCAAACCCCTCAAAGTCCATTAAGTCCATATCCTCACTATCACTGACTTGGGCTGGCTGTGGTGGGTGGCGGGTGAAGAACTCGGTAATGTTTTGATGACCGGGGAGACCTTGTGCGCATCCTGCCCGCCCCGCTTCCCATGTATATGAGTAGATGCTCACAGATAAGTACATACAAAGTAAAAAATAAAATGCAGTAAAGTACAGTACAGTATAGTCTCGATTTACGCGGATTTTGTTTACAACGCATTTGGTCATTTACGCGGTGCCTTGCCAGTTAATCGAGTGTTCCTCTAACCATATGCCCAGCTAGAAAAAATAGTTAGGATAGCTATGGATTTAGCAGAAATGGAGCTGAAAATAATTTTAGTAGGCTATATAAGAAAAACTAATACCTTATCTCAGTGACTAATAAATTAAACCTCATTTCTTGTGGTAGTGGCACAGTAGTGGTGGTGATTAAATGCTATAATATAGAATACATGTATACTGTATTGTATATTGATGCTGGTAATTGTTTACATATATGTACTTGTATATAAAAAGACAAGGTGAAAATTGTTAGCAGAACTTAAATAATAATGACAATTACGGAGGCTAAAATTTAGTCTATAATATGTGATCTACTGTAGGCCAGAGAGAGGTAGGCACCATTGACATCACAAGCTCCAAGAGGTTCCCATCTCTTTGATGCGTGAGCAGACCTTATAATCTATAGATCAAGATGTTACTGACCTGACCTGATCAATATCAGGGGGATTATAGTGCGTTTTTCCCCAGCCGAGAAGAGATGCCCCACCCCCTCCTCAAGAGTTACAGCTGACTGGCTGTTGCAATTCTGTCCAATTTCATCCTGAAGTAATGATGTATAAATAAGTTTATCCATAATCATTGGGATGACAGTTTCTGACAAAAAAGATATAAAGCTAAATTATATAAAGATACATACATTCATTATTTCAAACATGAGTATGTCAGAAGTTTATCAGAAATCTTATACTGTACATGAATTAACTGTTAAACTCTGGTAGCAAATTCCCACAAGGCATACTAAGACAAACAACGTATCAGTAATACTACATTATGCAAAAACTAGCATGTTAAAAGATCAGAATCACATTGCACTATTACACTAGGGTGTGTCATAGGAGGGAAGATCAGCTAAAACTAATGGCCCATCACTTTTTTGGTAGATTTTAGTGTATATAAACAGAAAATAATTTCAGTTTCAATATTTTGCAACCTTTTGCTAGGTAAATTTTAGCGTGAAATTTATCGAAAATCTAACGTACAGCTGCATTAGTGCATTACAATTAAATAGTGAACATTGCTTTCTGACTTCATTCTTTAACAACCCAACTAACAATATTTTTCTGTTTCAGATTCTGATGCATTTATAAGTTGATAATATTTGGATGGCTGCTTTGTCAGGACGAGGAACCAAAAATCCAGCCATCTCAGTCACTATCTTGGGTCTGGGAGAGAGCTCCTGAAGTCGGAGTTGCCTACATTGAGAGATGCTTTGAGATACGGTGTTTTAATCAGGCAAATCAGTGAAAAGAACCAAAGAACTTACACAAACAAAGACATTGCCAGTGATATGACCAAAGCTGTCTTGGCACAGTACACTCTGGCTAACGCTCAGTTCAAGCCTCCAGTCATAACAAGTCAGAAGAAGATTAGTGAGAGACTGCTAGCCAGTTGGGAAAAGGCAAGAGATATCTCTCTTGGGAGAGGAAAACTTGCAGTTAAGGACAGCTTTGCCAAGCAACTGGACCAGTTATTTGACATAATTACTTGCAAGAGCCCAATTGTTCTCTGTCCTGAGTTTGGATGCGATCGTGACTGTAAATCCGAGGCCCACATCTCCTGTATTTGCAAGCGTGAACTGAAGATTCCTGTGATCGAACTGGCATTTGTCAAAGCACAGAGAGAGAAGACTGGCAGTATAGGGGCTCTCATGATTTCTAGCCAAGATATTCCGGAGTCCAAGAGGCAGGAGGCTGCCACAGAGAGACAGAAGAGGAGAAGAGTTGCCGAGGAAAAGAGACTTGAGAAGGCCCAGGTGAGGTAAAAAAGGTCAAGGATTGGAGTCAAGCTGATTCAGAGTTTAATGACTTCCCCATGGCTGGGATCCGGAGGCGACAGGAGAATGGTGACTTTTGTCCCTAACCCAGAAAATAATGATCCCAAACCTTCCAGGCATAAGATTCAATAGAAAGATATCCCCGAGCATAGCTCTGGCCAGCATGCATAACCACACCAACCCCAGAGAGAAACTGCAGAGATAGCAACAGCTGCCTGATTGGACGGGGTGGTTTGATAACACCTGATGATGTCTACCCTGGTGATAGATCATACCAAAGCAAGGAGAGCTCAGGAGAAACTTGTCAGTAACCTAGCAAGAGGGAGTTTGATAAGGATAAGAGAAATGGAATCAATTGTTTGTTCTTGGATGGGAGAAGGGATGACACTAAAGTGTTCATGAAAGTTGGAGATTCTGACAAGTTGTTCCCTGCCATGGTGAAGGAGGAACACTACTCCTGCTGCAGTGAACCAGGAGGGAAGTATTTGTGGCATTTCACTCCAGAGAAAGATGACATCAGGAAACCAGCTGAGAGAGTGGCAGATAACATTGTGAACTGGCTCAAAGAGAGGAACGTAGACCAGACCCTGCAGGCCATTGGAGGGGGCCAGCACCAACACGAACACAGGGTGGCAAGGGGGGTCATACAGTGGATAGAGCGGAAGATTGGGAGGAAGCTGGTCTGGATTGTTTGTGACCTCCACACCAACAAGTTGCCACTCAGACATCTGATCCAGGAGCTGGATGGCAAGACTCTTTCAAACAACAGATGGTCTGGTCCTCTTGGCAAGATGCTGGACTCTGCCACTGAGTTAGAAATAAATCCGAGCTTTGAAAATATCACAGTTGGCCCTCCACTCGTTGAGCTTGCACATACTGTCATTGATTTACCCGGAGCACTGACCACCAGCACTATGGTTACATGATTTGCAGTGCCATCAAAACTGGGGTCATGCCTGATAGACTTGCTTACCCGCAAGATAGGTCCAGTCTCACACCTAGGTGGCTCACAACGGCTCTCAGGTTCTGCAGAATTTGGGGTCGCCCATCATAAAACTGAAAGGGAACCAGCCTACAACCCGGGAGACTTATTGTCCAATTCATCGTGAGTGTCTACTTGCCAAATTGGTTCAACACCAAGGTCAAGTCATCGTTCTCCGAAGGTCCGAGGCATGTTCTCTTCCAGCTTGAGCTCCTGAGGAGTCAGCCAAGGAAGGTTGTTCAGATTGTGGAGCAGACTGTGAGGAGATCTTCCTGGTATGCTCATCCTGAGGCAGTTCTGCAGACAATGCTCTGCAGTAAGGATGAGGAGGAGAGAAGAGTGGTAGTCAAAAAGATCTTGGATATGAGACTTATGAGAGGATCTGGGCATGACGAATCAGTTGGTGACGATTCCTTCAGGGTCAGGAAGACTCCTGAAGTCAATCTAGGTGCCAAGACCCTCACTGATCTCATAGATCTGGATAACATCCAGGCTGGCAGTGAGCCCCCTCTTACCTGCAGCCTCACCAATGTTCAAGTCAGAGCTTTTCTGGACAACCCCATGCATGTCCCTGCCTGGCCCTCGCACACCCAGAGTATAGAGCGTTGTGTACAGCAAGTGAGCGAGGCCAGCAGTCATGTGTACAGCCAGGAGAGGAGGGAAGGCTACATCCGAGCTCAGGTGGTCAGCAGGGAGGTGATGAGTAGAAACAGAAGCAAGAAAGACATGTTCTCTATGGTGTGCAGCAACACCGGGTCGTAGTAGTAAAACCGGTTTTTGTATTTGATGATTTTGTTTTCTAAAGGAATATTAAATTTAATAAATGTGTCAAGATCATTCGTTTCACTATTCTGGATCATTTTCATCCTAATAAATTAACCTGATACATTTACTTTACTTTAAATAAGCTATTTAGTGGTGTTGGTAAAAGGGTGGGAATACTGAATTTTCATAAGATTTCAAGTTAAAATTTACCTAGCAAAAAATGAAAACTTTTCAAATCTGAAGATATCACATGATTCTGCACATAGAACTACATCATTAATACCATGGGCCGATTTTTCAAACTAAAAAAAAAAAAAAATTCGCCTCCGTATGACACACCCTACTATTACACGGCCATCACCAGAGGCAGAAACTAGGACTATGAACAACTTCATATTTCCCGCCTCTGCTGACGGCCATGTAATATTTCAGCTCTTCTCAGCTGGGGAAAATGCACTATAGTGATCTCATGAAATATCAGATCACCCCTTGTTAGGGTGGAGGATTAGTGGGTCTCTTCACTTGAAGAGATGTCTTGAATAAAGACATACAGTAAGCTAAGGTATTTTTCAGGTATGAGTCTGCTCACTAATATATTTATGGCTAACAAAAAAGTGTATAAACTTTTATTCACAATATTTGCTCTTACTGTATTTGATACCAGTGCATATACTGTATGGAGATGCATTTCTGGTGACATTATTTTGTATCTATTATAATAATAATAAAAAAAGATATATATATACAGTATAGTATTGTATATGATGGGTACTGGTATTAATAAGCAATGATTACTACAGTAATGTATCCTTATTACTCAGCTGACTAATGAAGTGAGTGATGACTTTCCATACGCCGACTTGACGAGTTGGTGGGATGACGAATGTCATTAATGTCATGTGTTTACATCACAAATAGGGGTATGGTATTAACACAGTATATCAGTCATTAACATGAATTATCATAGATGGGGATTCCATAAATAAAGGTTTACCTGCTGCACAGCATAAAAATAAACAAATTTACATAATTCGACCATATTTTGTTATTTAATGGACTCAAATATGTAGAATTATTCACTGAAGCACTTTTTAGACGTCTGTACTTGACCAGTTGTAAAATAAAAATTTACTCGAGTACTGTACTCAAGTAACATTTTGGGGTATTTACTTTTTAAAAAGCACTCAAATATTTAGTACTTTTTCTAAAGTATAGTTCCCTAATACTTTTACTTTATTACAATTGAACAGACAAAAATCATTACTCATCGCATGCAAACTAATATTTTGTTAATTATTTAATTATTAACCACAGTAAAAGAGTTGAGTAGGTGAAGCCGTGAAGGGTACAGTGTGGGGAGACACCACGTGGTCACATACCTAGAGGTCTTGTATGGTTAGGTGGCAGTGGCCATGACAGAGAACTTTCCATTTGATCTTTTTGTGTCCATTAACACCTTGACCACCCACTAACCTCACCTAGCCTACCCTCTTATCCCCTCTCTTGGTCTTCCCGTTAAACGTCAGTTGCTCTTTGCATATACCTGTACGCTGTACAGGTGTGATTCTCTGCGATTCTAAATTACATTACATAATTCCATCTTAGATATAAAGCCTGTATCTATATACTGTATATGTGTAAGACAGTGTATTTAAAATTCTGCTTAAAGAACTAAGTAACCCTGCCCCCTGTAACAGTGCCATGATTTTAGAGTAAATTATATCACACTTTAGAGAAAATACACACATTCCCGCTAAAATGCCATGTTTGCGGCCCACCAAGCTGACATTGCCCTGGAGAAGCCCAAGCCAATTGCAGACATGAATGTGTCGTCATAGGCATAACTGTGTTGATTGGCTGGAGAGTAGTGCTCATCACACAGAGGGGTCGATTTTAAAACCGAGTCTGGTTTTGAAAGTGTTTGAGTGTGGGGTCAGAAAGGTTTCAACATGGCGAGATATATATACAGTACTGTAAAGTAAGTGCACTTAGGTTTTATCTGTTTCACGAAATGTATTGCAATTCATGTGACCCCCATTTAACTAGCTAGGAAAATTGATTAATTGTTTTGAAGTGTAACTGTCAATCTAATAGAAAGTGTTCAATAAATAAAGAGCCATGAGTGTTATAAATTCCCCCCCCTCCCCCTTTGTATTTAGTGTTATGTAGTGATACGGTGAGCACTGAGTAACAACATAACTCACGTTTTTCCTGTTAAAGTTGTTTGTTCGCCCTATTCCCCAGTCTCCCCTCATATTGGTTACCCTCTGGTGGGGGGGGGGAGGGGGGGGCTGACCACAGGCAAACCCCCACCCCCCTCAACTACAAGCCTGCCTCTTCCCTCTCTCCCTCCTTCACTTGTTGAAAGAGTAAGAATAAGAAAAAAAAAAAAGAGAATAAAGAAAGAACAAAAGTAAGTAAATAAATAGAAATGAGGTAAAATAAAAAGGTTAAAAACTATTACACTCTAGCACCCGCCAGATGTTACATGGTGCGAAAAATTCTGCCACTCATCAATTAGAAATGAAATGTGACATCACCACAGCCACACCCCAATTAGAGGGACAGTTTACGGCATGTCTTAGACTTGGTCACTATGGATGCAACAATCATCCCTAACTTCTCAACTGAAGGAGTTTGATAGCTACTTGGCATGCCCAGGGGATGGAATGGAGCTACTGAAATCTTTCCCAACATTATGTGACTTATCTCTCAAGCTTAACACCCAACTTACCTGTATCTGCTGCTTGTAAGCATCTGTTTAGTCATGTTGGGCTTCTTTATTATACCCCAGGAGACAAGCCTAGTCACAAGACCATGCAGTCAGACACTAATACAGTAATGTACATTGGTAATCATGTCTTGCAGGACACCCTATGACTTGTGATGTCTTTTATGGCAGCCAAGGCAAGGCACTAAAACTGAATAATGTCAAAATATTTTGAACTCCGTTAATTTAGATTTTTCGGTAATTCAAGTGACCCAGAGCCTTTATGTTGAATTAACGAGGCTGTAGTGCATTTTTTACATTACAGTTGTCAAAGTGGATGATAGAGTAGAACAGGTCATTAAAGGAATTGGCAATTTTACATAACCTTAGTTTCCATATAATTTAACTGAAATTGCCACATATTTTAACTAAAATTGCCACAAGTAACTCATGCCAAATTAATATTGCACTGAAATAAACCTGACCACAACTAACACTCATCATTACTGTCAATCTGGGATACAAACTACAATACCATACAGTATATCCATACCTGACTAGTTGACTAATTCCCTCCAAGTGCATCAAAAGTGGCATTAACTCCTGATCATGAACAAGTGGTGGTGACTTAAATTGAGGAAAGACCATCATATGTATGCTCTGCATCTCCCTAACCTTGTGATCTGTTCAGTAAGAATTAAAATAAAACAAGCATCAAAATCTACATTAGGTTTATTAACATAAATCAATATGGTGTTGACATTTTCTTATACAAAGAGGCTTTATACAATGTGGGAAGAAGTGCAGATAATTTATACAACTGGATCAATCTTGGGTTCTGAAAAAAAAAAGGTATATTAGTTTCACACATTTTAATCATTTCTTACTTTAACCCTTTGGATGCACTGAACAAAATATAACAGTGTTTAAATTTCGTCCATGTTTTTTTAAAAAAAGGTGCCATTTGGCCAGCGCCGGATTTAGACCTATGGAGGCCCATGGGCAGCCTCTTTGTGGAGGCCCCCCTCATTATAACTACCCAAGAGGGTGGGGTGGCGAGTGAAGCGAGCCTAAACATCTGGGAGTTCCAGGGGGCGCTGTAAGCCCCCCGGGAAAATTTTGAAATTTGAACACTTCTTTGGAGAATTTTGAAGCCATATGCAGTTATATTAAAAATACTAAAATTATACGGTTCATAGGAAAACCAGGTATTCATGAATTTCAAGGAGTAGTTAGCCTAATTTCTATCACGCTTCATGCTGAACATAGTTTTACATGATGGAATAGATAAACATGAATTTTAAAGAATGAAAATAAAAATAATCCAAATGAATAAACAAATAAATAAAATATTGTAATATGTGAAGGCCCCTGGGCAGCTGCCCACTCCTGAATCCGGCCCTGTATCTTCATTATTACTTATTCAAATGACTTGCAAATGTAATTAAAATTTTCTAAAAGCCATTTGAACAAGTAATAATCCAGATATCAAATTTTGGTCAACAGATCCTTAATCAGCATGTTCAGGAGTACCTATACTGAGATTTTGAACAAAATCTATTTTTTGGAAAAAATCCTGTAAGGCATAAGACTTCCAATTTTGGTCATTTTCGGCCCAAAAAATTGATTTTGTTCAAAATCTGAATATAGGTACTCCTGAACATGCTGATTAAGGATCTGTTAACCAAAATTTGATATCTGCATTATTACTTACCGGGTATTCAAATGACTTGCAAACGTAATTACAATTTTCTAAAAGCCATTTGAACAAGTAATAATACAGATATCAAATTTTGGTCAACAGATCCTTAATCAGCATGTTCAGGAGTACCTATACTGAGATTTTGAACAAAATCTATTTTTTGGCCAAAAATCCTGTAAGGCATAAGACTTAAAATTTTTGTCATTTTCGGCCAAAAACATAGATTTTGTTCAAAATCTCAGTATAGGTACTGTACTCCTGAACATGCTGATTAAGGATCTGTTAACCAAAATTTGATATCTGCACAGTGCCGGATTTAGACCTGTGGAGGCCCATGGGCAGCCTCTTTGTGGAGGCCCCCCCCCCTCATTATAACTACCCAAGAGGGTGGGGTGGCGAGTGAAGCGAGCCTAAACATCTGGGAGTTCCGGGGGGCGCTGTATGGCCCCCGGGAAAATTTTGAAATTTGAACACTTCTTTGGAGAATTTTGAAGCCATATGCAGTTATATTAAAAATACTAAAATTATACGGTTCATAGGAAAACCAGGTATTCATGAATTTCAAGGAGTAGTTAGCCTAATTTCTATCACGCTTCTTGCTGAACATAGTTTTACATGATGGAATAGATAAACATGAATTTTAAAGAATGAAAATAAAAATAATCCAAATGAATAAACAAATAAATAAAATATTGTAATATGTGGAGGTCCCCAGATTGTGGAGGCCCCTGGGCAGCTGCCCACTTTGCCCACTCCTGAATCCGGCCCTGCACTTGGCTGAAGCACTCTTCTCCCGCCAACAGACAACATAGCCGGTTGCTTTTGCTATATTTTAGTTTTTTTTTACGGGAATTAGCCCACCTGGGCACAGGTCGAACGACCCACAACGGGGCCTAGGGGGCGAAAAAAAATAAGAACAGAAAGAAATTAAAAATAGAGAAGAAAATGATTATACTGTGTTAATCTACACCACAAAGATGCCGGAAAACCAGCTTTTTAAAGTGAGACAGATTGTATAAGTATGGAAACATGGAAGAAGGCAGAGCATTCCACAGTTTGGCTGTGTGAGGAAAGAAGGGTGAACTATAACGGGTTATTCTAGTGTGACCGACATCCACAGGGAAACGGTGGGCACTGGGGGCAAGACGTGTGTTACGAACCCACGGCCTTGCCGGTGGTACACAGGATGCCAAATCCACTGAACAGTGCCCGTTAAAGTACCTGTAAAGGAGAGAGAGTGAAGCAACATTGCGGTGAAGAGAAAGGGAAGAAAGATTATCAACTAAAGGAGGAGAATTAATAAGATGAAATGCCTTTCATTCCACCCTATCTAACAGTTGGACAGAAGAAGAGCCACCCTAGATATGAGAGCAGTACTCCAAGTTAGGACGAATGAATCCCTTATATACTTAAAGCAACTGCTCAGGAGTGAAGTAGCTACAGTATCTGTACAGTATTCCCAACTTTTGGGACTGCCACCACCCATAATGTGAGGCATTTATCTCTTCTCATTTTTGCTTTGTTCTATTATTTGGATACATTCAGTGGCGGCTCATCGGTAGGCACTGTGGAACTGCAGCACTCCCTATTTCACCCGATATACAGTGACCCCTCGTTTAACGAACGCCTCGGTTAACGAACTGCCTTCCATAAGGATCTTCAATTCGGTTAACGAATTTCTTACGAACAGACCTCAACATGTTTTCGCTTCCACTGACCCGGCAACCAGCTTTAGTATCAGTCCGCCAATACATTAATCGGTTCCAGGGCTTAAATTCCTTACTATTTTAGTAAATATCAAGAAGTTTATACTATTCAATAATTTTAAAAGTTTAATATTCAATTTTTTAATTTTAACAATTATTGAACATATTTGAAGGTAAAGAAACTAGTTTCTGGCGTGCCATCCAGCCTGTTAACACACCAGACAGGCGTTAGTCTCTCTCTCTTTTCACTGGAGGTAACATCTTGCTTGAGACTCTCTTCAATTAAACGCTTTTTTTCTGTGTTTCCAAGCAAATTATTGGTCATTTTGAAATTTAATTTACATATTGACAATATATAGCGCAGTGCAGTGTTATTTTAAAGAAAATATTCTATATTTACAGCTAGTTAAACTTTGAAAAACACGTGTTGACATTGTTTGAATCCAGCATGGGGCCTAAGAGATCAAGAAAATCTATTTCAATCCAAACCAAGCAGGAAATCATAAAAAAACATGAACAAGGCATTAAATCAAATGTGCTTAGCAAAGAATATGGCATGTCGGCATCAACTGTGTCGACAATTCTTGCACAGAAAGACAAATTTAAAGAAGTGAAAGTGAGAGACAAATCTACAAGAGTGTTTAAAAGTAGATCCCTAATCGTAGAAACTGAGAGGTTACTTATCATCTGGATTAGGGAAAAACAGATGAAAGGTGATTCAGTTTCTGGTGATTTCATTTGTGAAAGAGCCAGGGAGATTTATGAACATTTAAAGGCAGATCAACCTGGTTCTTCAGGCACAGAATTTGAAGATTTTCGGGCCAGCAAAGGCTGGTTCAAAAAATTTAAGAAAAGAAGTGACATTTTAAGTGTTGTTAGGCATGGTGAAGCTGCTAGTGCTGATAAAGCAGGGGCAGCAAAGTTTTTAGTTGAATTTAAAAAACTGATGGAAGAAGAAAATTATCTTCCACAGCAAGTGTTCAATGTGGACGAAACTGGGCTGTTCTGGAAAAAGATGCCCAAAAGAACATTCATCACCAAAGATGAAGCCTCTTTACCTGGGCATAAACCCATGAAAGACCGTCTCACTCTATTGCTTGGTGCCAATGCTTCAGGGGATTTCCGACTGAAGCCTATGCTTGTCTACCACTCTGAAAACCCCAGGGTGTTCAAGCAACAGAAAGTGGTAAGAACAAAACTTGGAGTTTATTGGAAGTCCAATGTAAGGCATGGGTGACAAGACAGCTCTTTAATGAATGGGCTGTTGATGTGTTTTGCCCTTCTGTCAAGAGCTACCAATAAACTCCCTTTAAAGGTTCTTCTCCTCATGGATAATGCTCCTGGTCATGACCCTGACCTTGCCAGCAATTTGGAGTATCAATTTGACTTTGTGAAAGTGTTGTTTTTGCATCCAAACACTACATCAATCATACAGCCAATGGACCAGAACGTGATCAGCAACTTCAAGAAGTTGTACATGAAGAAAATGTTTAGGTGGTGTCATCAGGCAACTTCAAATGATCCTGAACTAACACTGAAACAGTTCTGGAATACACAATTCAACATCCTGGAGGCTGTAAAATTGATTGTGTCATCATGGCACGAAGTCTCCACTAGATCCCTCAATTCTTAATGGAAAGCACTGTGGCCATCAGTAGTCCATGATTTTGAGGGATTTGAGGAAGAAACAGAGTTGGACAAGGAGATTGTGTCCATTGGTCAGTCATTGGGCCTTGAAGTGGAGGAGGAGGATGTGGAAGAGCTTGTGATGTCTCATGAAGAGGAACTTACTCCTGATGATTTGAAGCAACTGGATGAGATGTTACAGGTAGAGGCTGACAGTGGTGAGGAGGAAATTGAAAGTGATGACCATTTGTCAGCTAAACAGTTGAAAGATGTGATTTACTACTGGGAGAAGTTCAGGGAACTGGCTTCAAGGCACCCAGAAGTGGAAAAAACTGAACTAACTTTGTGTCATGTTGAGGACTCAGTGGTCTCCTTCTTTAAACATAAGTTAATGGTGAGGAGGACAGGTGCCCCACAGACCACAATTGACACTTTCTTCAGTAAAAGGCAGAGGGAACAAGATGCTATCCCTCAGCCTTCCACTTCAAGAAGGAGAGAGGATGTTAATGGTGGAGAATCTGTCAGTCCAGAGGTTCCTGACATTTTCATGGAAGGTGACTCACCTTCCAAGAGGCAGTAAAATGCTTCTCCTCCACCTCCACTTCCTTCTCTTCTCCCTTCTCCTCCTCCACCTCCCTCTTCAAATGCACATCATCATCATCATCCAGAAGCCTTCTACATACACACCTCAAAGTAAGTGAACTTTTCTTCCATTTTTGTTGAATTTAGGAAATTTTCGGTGAGCTGGAACCAATTACCCAAAAACCCATTGAAACAATGGTTTCGGTTAACGAACGACCTTCT